CTTCATTGTAACCATGGAGAGCGGAGACAGTATAAGAAAGGACAATTCTGGTTGGCTGATGATCGATAAGCTCTCGTTGCCAGGGACCTTGTGACGACAATACAACAATCAGTTTCCATCCGGTAAGCTTTGCATGCAGCCATTGCTCCGACCTACTATTGGTCAAAAGTGACACTTCCTGCAAATCTCATTGCAGTATTGATTTGCAATTTTGGGTGGTTCTCACAATGGTATACATGTGTCTCGTTATATCTACATCATCTATTTGCGATTTATCTTGTCGACTTTCCTCGACTATATCCTGCTACCCAATTCGTTGTTGCTCTGAATTCCTGACCCGCACTTTCAGCCACATCTTGGGGACAGCAGAGTATATCCAAGGTTAATGTGTTGCATCTAGCAAGCGTCCGACTCGTCTGTTGCCAATAATCTTCCTGGTGATGAGTGAAAACCACATTTCCGAGAGCAAGTCAAAGAGTGTCTTAGCCATAGCAGAATTTCGTAAAGCGACTTCCTGGAGACGCTAGTGACTGAGTCTAGCCCATGAAAATCGAACGTAATGATCATTATTTAAAGACAACTGTCAGTGCTGATTGATACCAGTTCAAACGCGTTATACCACAATCCATAAGCTTGTGCCTGTCTTTAATATTTTGGAGGGAGGGCAGCTCGGGTTCGATACAAATTACAATCTTCTGTCTCAAGGACCTAGGCCTATATTATCTGCAAGAGCGCTAAAAATAAGCAAGCACCCAAAAGTCTATAAGACAGTTTCCTGTATACATTGTAAAACCCGAGAACGTTAGATGCGTTTATAAACTAAACACATCAGCATTTGAACACGCGGTGCGTTTAGACGTGAACGTATTTAACATAATTATGAGGTGTTTATCATTGGGACATTAAACGCATGTTTATAGCAGTTAAAACATGAATTCCATTATCTTCTGCCAATACTCTTTAGTGCCGATGAATTCAAATCTCATGTTGTTAGTGTTTAATTAAAGCTGACATAATGTGTAATATATGGAGGCAGAGTGGATTATCACGTGGTTATCACACCTTTATACAATACATTCAGTTGTACCGCCGCGCCCAGCACGACTTGGCGCATGCGCTGTAGTACACGCAGTGCATTAATACGCACTTCGATCTCTTTCTAGGTCCCCCGCACGTCTGCTGGTAGTTCTCAGTAAGTTGCAAATGACGTAGAGAAATCAAACTGATCAGCGTTGCATTTATTCGTTTCTTACACAGGTTCGTGCATGTAACGTGCTAAGATATTTCAGGATCTTGAATAGTTGATTCTGAAAAAATAAGGTTTGTCAACAGTATTTCAACCATTTTTGTTCCCGTGTTAATTCGAAGCAGTTGGCTTGTCACTCTTCACGTCCCAGCGTATGACTTCTGTCATCGTTACCCAGTAATGTGCAGCTGATAATCACTTCACACTTAATAAATGTCTCTAAGGGTATAAAATTGTTGCAGCCTGTACACACGTTTAGGCGTTTAAGTAACAAACACACAAACGGATTTAAAATTAAAAAGTGTTTGAAAACCTAACACATGCTAAACACACCTATATATTTAATCATAAACATACGTCGCGTTTATTAAATAGAATAGTGTGTTCAGCATATAAACATGTCGTGTGTGTTTGTTTATAAACATGCTAAAATGTTTAAAAAGTCTTATAGATTTGCGTTGAATTTTTGTTTAGAATTTGAACGCTTGGGTATTACATTGTACAACAAGGCCTGCCCGAGTAGTCTGTAGTCTCGAAGATCAACGTTTGCTCGGCTACTCTAGGCTTGAATCAGAAGGATGAACTGTTCATGAACTCCACACCCTTGAACTCTTATGGGAGCCCGCTTGTTTACCGCTCCAAAGGTGATGAGCTGAAAACATCTCGGAATGCACTGAGGAGAACGATGGTTGTAAATCATTGCCAGATTCACGATCGTATGATATAGATGTTAGTTCTTGCCCTTTTCATGATGAAGTGCTGTTGACGCTGGCTAGCTCTGCATTGAACTTGAAGGAAAAGTCAACTCCACTCAATATGCACGTTTTATTTATCACATAACCTTTTCTGTCGCGTACCTGGCAATCTATAAGAAGTGATATCATTGGAGAAAGGCCTATATTCGTGAAGATTCCTTTTCCCAGAAAGTGGATTTCATGATACCGCCACTTTGACAGGCGCGTCACTGGGCCTTTCTCTGCGCTTGACTTTATTGCCGGATTCGGCGTCGACTCTCGCTTCGGATCTATTTGAGGCCTCATTAAAAAAGTAATGTTTGAATCACCAAACAGTATTTCCAGCATTTGGCTGATTATGTTGATGTGCCCACGCTCATGTTTAGCCGTGAGTCTCCACAGTCAGAGTCCTAACATCGGGTGAAACGACAAACGGAGGTGTCGCCGATGTTTGCGAAAAATGGCACACGGTCTTCACGAATAGCATAAAAGCGTTTGACCGCGGGAGCCCCAGCTCTGGTGAAGCACACCACTCTTTTAGCATAGTACACGGTGCTACTTTAGCGCAGCAGGTTTAGCGGTCCCAGACTGTCGTCAAAGGTTTCAGTTTAGTGCTATGTATGGTATTGTGACGTGCTTTTGCGGGCTCAGTATAGTAAGGAGGTTAATGTGACAGAAAATCCGACGGCCAATGTAATATCTGCTTTTATATTCGACCGAATCTCTGAGGACAATCACACAAGACATTGCTCACGTGGTTGGTTTCTCTGATCTCAGTATTTTGTTCGCGGGAGAGCGAATCGCCCCGTACCTCGCACATTTCGCGCTAGTTCTGCACCCGTTGAGTGGAGCGGTGTGACCCAGTTCGCGGCACGGTGTTCTCAGTCAGCCAGGGGCGCGACTTCAGGAATCTCCGCAGACACTCCACGTTAACTTGATCCCCGGGAAATATCCAATTACTTCTAGCCTTATTTTTTGTTAACAAGTGCGTCCTCGCACAAGCCGGCTGGGGTATGCTTGGAATTGTACGATCTCTTACAGAGATTCGGAAGGTTGTCTTGAAACCGAGTTTTAATCTCGATGGTCCCTGTCTGTCCTTGCACAGTGTAGGAAGCCGGACGGTCGGTAGTCATCGTTATTAGAGCTTTGTTTGCGAAGTGAGGTCAACTGTCATTTTGAAAGTGGCAAATATTTTGAAACTGACAGCATGGGAGGATACGCCAGTGAAAACACGTATCCAATATTTTGTTATTTTGGAATAAAAAACCTGACACCAAGTCTTGCCAAGAGAGTATTATGCTACAGCTCAATATCTGTTGTTCCCCCACAGACGATACGGAATGGCCCGGCCCACATTACCGTAAAAGAAACTATTCAGAGACAAATGTGAAACTTATAAGTAGAAATTTAATTGGTTCATGACGTTTCTTTATATATTTTAACTGGATGAATACGGGCAATTCACAATAGTGCGCAGTTTGCTACGCGTTGGCCAATCACAACGCGCGAAATCTGCCGACCATTTCCAAACGCGCATTGGGTCAAAAAATTTCGTGCATCGTGATTGGCCAACGCCTTGCAAATCTTGGAGAAGCACTATTGTGAATTGCCCGTATTGAAACAAAAGACCCCAGTGTAGCGTTTGAAGGTCACGCGAGCTGAGTAAGCTCCTTCAATAGAGTGTACTTTCTTGGAGCCTGTTATTTTGACCCCACGAATGAATCTAGTCTACATAGGCCCTATAGAGCTTGTGCTGAAATATCTGATTACAAAACGAGCAGTTCTTTTCCATTTTGGGTAAACAACCGGTTGGGTGGTATGCATGAACCGCCCTTGTTTTGGCAGATGGTTCTGCCTTTATCACAATGTAGCATAGCTCTGCCCTTATCACAGCAGTGGTATTTCAAGTATTGAAAGCAGGTTTGTAGGGCAACAAAACTTTCAGAAAAAAAAGGACGTCCAATATTCCATTTTGTGAGGAAAAATGCTGTTCTTTCTTTGAATTGAAATCCGTGTGAATTTGTGAGGGAAATAACCAAGCTCCGTTCAAACGGTAATGAATACACAGGGCTTCGTAAGAAATCGTAATCATTGCCATCTCTGATACACGAGTTTATAAGTTTAATATCATGAATCGTAATGCGCGGGGTGTTTGCGAGTTCTGTGTGTCTGTAAGCTTTCAACCAGCCCTGTTTGCTGTCAGCAAGGGGTTTGTCTGCACACCACCTCCACAGCCAGCTATACACATTGTATTTTGCGCATATGATTTCGCGTCAAAATTAGAATGAGCCAGTTTGGTATTCCAACAGCGCATGCCCAAAATGACGCGCGCCCAGGGTCATTCGGACGCGCGTGCGAGGTCTGCTCAATCAGCGCAGCCCCCTTCGTTGACTCTCGCCTGCTTTGTTCCCGAATTACCTTGCTTTTTGAAATACCGAAATGGCTCATTTTTTCGGATGTTTGCCTTTGATTGTGAAAAGTCCTTGCGTCAGCGACATTACTACAAATGAGACGGGCTTATTCTGTGACGTGTCGGCAATGTCGTACCCTACATTCCCTGACTTAGTCCGCAATCGAAATGTATTACCAGGGTATTGCATAACCTGAAGAGGAATATAAAGACCATATTCAACCATCTATGATTCAACATCAGAAAAACATCTTTGCCTCTTGCCAATCAAACTTGTAACCAGGTACGCAAACATTCCAGGCGTGCTTCGCACTCGACATAACAGCCGTCACAACTTTGGATCAAGATCTATGTTGACAGCAGCTGGTCAGAACGTGTACTGTAGTACACCGGACGAATACGCCCCCTTCCTGACATCATAAGGATAAACAAACCGATTTCTCCTATTGGACAAAGATCCCTCTCTCATTACGGACATAAATAAATCACGGTTATCCCATTGGCCCAGAGTGTCGAGCCTCCATCACTGGAGCGACGCTTCGATTGGTCAAGCTCATGATCCGTGATTCATACGTCATTGTGAACTTTGTGGATATAAACAAACTGCAGCCAGGTTTACGAGTAGAAAACAGCGTGCTTTAGAAATTTCAACTTTCGCGCTAACCATCATTAGTGTTTGAAATAGATTTTGGCACACGATTCTTGTTAGTGATATTCTGAATTTTTATTCACGAACATATACAAAATGAGAAGACCGTCCAGCCTGATTGTACTGTGCTTGATGTGTGCCGCTGCACTTCGAAGTTGTGTGGCCGTCAAATTCGAAACATTGCAAGGTAAGAAAATGATTTGGATCTGTTTGGTGATGTTTGCCGGACACATCTTTGGTTTCCATATTTCCGCTGCTTTCCATTCATTGTCCTCAAGTTCATCTGTTAAAATTGGTTGATTTTCAATCGCGTAAATTTGCCAAATCGTTACTTGTTCAATCCGGACTCTGTTTCAAAGTTAACGTTACTTATACGCCAAGAAATTTACCCACGTTTGACCTCACGTTTAATGTTCGATCTCCACATTTTAAGCTGGAGTTTGCTATTAATATATAACAACATTGAAACTGCTGTGTGGCATTTTAAACCAGAAAAGAAAACACTGATCTCTCAACAGATACGATCGAAAAAAATCCATCGCCGTTTAACCCGAGTGGCGTGATAAATTTTTTGTACGGTACCGCAATGTTACCCATTCAGAATTCTTTAACCCTGTGACCTGGCTCGTTAGATATACACTTGTCGCGTGACACTCTTGGTTATCGCACCATTACTCATCCCAATAGCATGCTGCTCACGTATTAATTTGCTTTTGATAGCAGTGATTTCCGAAATAACTCACCCTGATAAGATTAAAAAAATTGGGCTAATTTTTCGAAAAGTTTTTTTCGATCACGAATTCATACCTTGTCATCGTAAAAAACATTGAGACTAAGGATTACATGACTTTTCACTTCATATATTTCTTAGACTCCGATAATGGTTAAACTGGAATTTGTTTACTTTTCTGAAAAATTAAACCACGTGCGTGGCGGTTCTGTAGAGTCTATGCCAGTTTAAGAAGCAGTACTTTGGTTTCCAGGTACAATGTATTTGTGTAATGTACCAATGTATCACTCGAAAGTGAAACTGAAGAAATGAAAGTGAAATAACTTGAACAGACAGTCGAAACGAAGAATGTGACCATGGAGCATAGAATATGGAAATCCTTGAACATCAGTTAGATATAAGATACAAAAAAATAGAAACGTGAACCCCTCAGCCTTGAGGAAAGCGTGCGTAACGTTTAGGGACAACATGAACGATCGCCCATGGACAAAGTTCTCTTAACCTCAGATATCAGAAGTTAAGAGCGGAAAAGCCCATAGCATGCATATTTAAACCTTCAGAGCTGTTTCCATGATCTGATAAAAACTGTATGCAGGCGGCACTAAATATCGCCCGTAAGCATTGTCGTACAGTTCGATATCAAGAAAAGTTCAGGTCAACTTGACCAATGGGCTCATGACTCGATGACTATACACTGTCGTATTGTATTGTTCTACCCATGTGGTCGGAAATGCGTTAGCCAGACCTTGGGAACAAACTTTTCGATCAGTGACTTCTGTTTCCTTGCCCTGTAGTTTTTACTGATATTCCTTTCCACTTATCGGGAAAGCGGAACGAACAGTTATCTTGCATGTACTGGTATTATGAAATCAAGTTTCACTTGTGTATAAAATTGAAGGCCGTGGCACAGCGAGCTGAATCACAGTAGTAACCACAACAACAGGCAATCCATGAACGGGTGCACAGGCTATAAATTTCCGGGCAGCTCGCATAACAACGTGCCACCTCGGATGTCATTAAGTATTGTTCACCCCGTTTGTTTATAGTCAGCATTCCAGCGATATTTCAGTGTTGTTGTGGATCGTTCTCAACACCTGACCCAAAGTCTTCATATTGTTTGTTGACACAGCGTGATCGTCATGCTCAACCCCGCGTGTGGGCAATTTGTCAAGCCCCAAAGATTGCTTGACAAAAAAAGATAGTGCTGTCGGAGTTAAAACTGTCAAAGTTCCATCATGTTAACATACTTCACCAAAAGGAAAAAAAAATTAAACACAAAGATTACAAAAGGAAAGAGCTGCTGGATATTAGAGTTCAAAGGTGATCGCACTTTTGCTCTGTGTTTATTTTGAGCGCGATCGGTCGATGTGCGCGATCACCCGATCTTTGCGCAATCAGTCGATCTTATAGCGCGATCGCGCCTAACAGTATTTTATGCTTTGTAATGGTGGCATTAAACCGCGAAATTCATTCAAAAGCATAATTTCAGTTACTCTGCACTTGCAGTATTTTGTGTCAGTTTTTATTAATCGGAATATTCACCATTGTGCATGCATAATACATATTGTCTCATAAGTCTTTATTTCCCAAAATATCAAAATATCACGAAATTGACAGTTTGTGAACCTTGAAGTTGAACCATGTAAATGAAAATCTAAGAAGCACATTTCCCCGATGTTTTGACATTAAACTTAAGACGCCGGTACACAGCAAGCATTATTTATCTTCCATCCATGCCCAAAGCAACAGCTGTAGAACAACTTGAAGCAATACGCGACATCTGAGAAAGCCAATTCCAACCCTGAGCTCATTCCCATAACCGGTTATTAACCAAACTCACCTGCCATCCGAAGCCCCTAGATCTCGACTTCCAAAACACATTTAAAAAAATGTGGCCGGGAAACAGCTGTTGGTAGTCAGCTGATGGTGATGTCACCCGTACGACCTGACACCTCCAAGCACCCCTGGGGCTCCCCAGGCAACCGTCATTACTCCCCCGTGGGCACACTCCTGACGTCCGCTCCGCTCATCAGGTTCATCTCTGCACGGGTTTCGCGTAATGAAACCCTGGGAATCAAAACGTCTGCTCAAACGCAGCGCCAAGACTTGTGTTCATGTGATGAACGGCCTCAGCTGTTTTGAGTGAAGGGTCTGACTTTCGAAGCGCTTTGGAGCCCGTGTCGGGGTTGACCCAGGCACGGATAGCCACCGGGGACTGCTGTTAAAGGTCAAGTTCAGTAGACTATTTCCTGATGCGAGCGCCAGCGATCAGTGCATACACGTCACGCGGGGTAATCGATACTTAGTGAAGCTCGGGTATCCAGCATGATTGCTCATAATTATGAGCTTTCCCCGAGGTAATGCTCAAGCCCCGAAGCAGTCTTCTTAAAGCTGATTTGTGTGCAAGCTGTACGTCATCAGGGAAAATCGTTTCCCTGTTCAGATCAGCGGTACTTTTAATCAGGGAAAAAAAAACAGCTGGGGGATTTCATTTAATGTTCTGGATGATTTCATGCAGTGAAAATGCCATGGGGTTTTGAAATTAGATTGGTTTATTGATGTCAGGAGCTTGAAAGCACAGATGTCAATAGCTGCATCCTTATTTCACCACTGCATTTCCACATCATTCAACATCGTCAATCCTCTGTTGATCATTAATTCACCACGGACATCTCCGAGCGATTACAGCACATTCCCAATTTTCCTGTATAACTTCAAAAGAAGAGGTGTGTGACTTGGGTCGAAATAGGGAGGGGGTATATGTGTGGTGAAATAGGGGCGTTTCACAATAGTGCGCCTCCAAGAGTTTGCAACACGTTGGCCTATCACAATGTGCAAAATTTGTCGACCCAATGCGCGTTTGGAAAGGGTCCACAAATTTCGCACGTTCTGATTGGCTAACGCGTTTCCAACTCTTGGAGGCGTACTACCGTGAATCAATCGTATTGCGCGCAGTGGATTTGATCAAAATTACTACCTGTTTCTTTTTCCTTTTTAAAATTCTGAGCGGGTTTATTGGGCGCAATATAGAAATTGAAACGAGCAGGGGATGTGACCATCCAACGTGTTCCTGGGACAGGGATCGTAACATTAACAGGGCCAACCTGGGCCAGGGATCCCCTAAAGAGCCAACCTGGGCCAGGGATCCCCTAAAGAGCCAACCTGGGTATGGGATCCCAAAAGAGCCCAAGCATGAGGTCACCCGCATCCGAAAAGAAAGTAAGTTCGCAAAGTCTCCCCTGGAACGACGTTATGACAGAAACATGTGGCCCATGGGTTCCATGGTGTTGTTTTGGCAACATGTTTGGCCTCGATGGGTCAAAACAGCTGGCGTGAAATCTGTGGATTGTCACCCAAACGTGTGCCTAGTCACACAAATTGACCACAAAGTGGATAGAAGGGATGATCTTCCTGCCACTCAGTCCAACAAGTCTTCAACATGATTGGATGTGGCAGGGTCTTGTAGCGCTAAGTTATTAGCCGTATGATTTGTCTGCGGAGATAGCTAAATGTGGGGAAATAACTCTGCCGGCTAGACGTTTATCATGGGTCTCTCTTCAAAGCTTTGGCTTCGTTTTTTTTGGCTACATCTTTGTGTCTACAATTTTTGAAATAAACAAAGTGGAGGAATGATTTAAGCTTCCCGCAATCGAGTTCATCGTCGTCATACACTAGTCTGTGGTGGTCCTGAAGGGACATATCAAAGATACAATTCTCTAGATTACTGTGCATACATGTATACTATCCTTTCCTTTTGACTTTTATGAACAAAATTTAGACTTTAGGAAAATTGCTGTGTTGTAAAGCACAAATTATGAGAGGAAAATACAGTTGTGTTATGAAAAAAATTATCGAGTTAATAAAATTTGTGATGTAAAAGTCTTCAGTGTGTTCGCAGGGCCACCATACATCACAACTGAAATTCACATTTTCAGGGGATTATCTAGACAGCATTTATCCATTTACACAAGCCTAGGCCTATAGAGATTTGTAAGAAATTTAGGCCGGGCAGTTGTTCGCTGATGTTTGATACCCACTCTAGGTCACGTGACTAATAGCGGGTGCAGTTGGTCTATGCAAATGTCAATCCTTGATTTGTATCCTTTACACACACGGAATATTCCTTGGCACACATTAGCACACTGAAGAACACATGCTAGAGAAATGTGAATTCATTATTGTCAAAAGTGGAGCTACTAGCACTGAGAAGTATAACACTCGACGACCATAAATTTCGTTCTCAAAAGATCAGTTTATGCACTGGCTAGGGTAAATAGGAAACCTGTCATGACAAAATGCAGGTGTTTAAATTCAACAAACTGTGACCATGGAGGTGTGACGTTTGAAAAATTGATAACTGTGGAGAGAGAAATTGTCAGACAACTTCAAGCATGGTTTTTGAGTGATGGGTCGCAGGTAACCTGTTAGCAGGTAAATATAGCAGACATTACCCCCCCTTCTTGTCTTTTCTTTCTTAGACATACATATGAATTAACGTTATATGTGACTGTTCACAGTGTGTTTAATCTTTTCTTGGTAAACCACACCATGCAAGTCGAAATTCAAAATGGTATGAATGTATTTTCCACAAATTTTCGAAATTTTGGAATTTCTGAAATTATTCCTGTTGTTGCACTGTTCTGATTATCAATCTACCAGAAAATGCTTTAAACTTGGTAGATTTTATATTTGTCTCACTTTTTGGGGGTAGGAGAACAAAGCTTTGGCGCCATACTGTAGCCATCCCAAGTAGCATTCTGTGAAGCGTCAACAATTTTTGGCCTACGTGCCATGTTCCACACAGCATGTATTTCTATCACCGTGTGTTACCATTCGGAGATCTGTCCACTTAATTAAGAGCTGTATGAGAACAGGAAGCTTAAGAAAGGTCACAAGACTATCTTGAGAGCCCCTCGCCGACCGCAGTGAAAATGTCACAGCCACAAGCTCAGGGAAGTGGCTTATAGATCAACCCATTCCAAAAGTGAGCATTGCAGCCAATAGGCCCAAGTGTGTCTTTGTCAGACACAGAGGTGTGATGACGTAACCTCTCTAAAGTCTCCCGTGTGAGACGTGGTGCACTCACCAATCCATTCAAGATGGTTTATTTGTAGAGCCTTGACTGGGCTAAAGTTCATTCCACCATCATCATCATATCACAAATGTTGTTGTTTGTGAATTTTAGGAGCAATATCTACTCAGAGTGGAATTTTCTGTCAATAAATTAATCATTGCAGTGTCATTGGCAAATATTTAAAGATGCACTCAAGCTTACATGCAAATAGCAAAGATGTTTTGAAAACCTTTGGCCAGAGTGACATAACTGGTAGAATAGGATTGAAGGAGCATATGTAATGTAACAGTATGTTACACGATGCATAAAAACTGCCACACTCTGTATTGTGGTGTAATAAAAGGAGATGACAATCGTGCAGCCCACTGCTTCACACCATACAGCGTTATATACCTCTTTGTTTCACACTTATCACTCACTGATAATAATGCAGAGGCGTTTTTTTTCACACACTACTTCATTGACATCTTTTTCTTTGCATGAGCAGGGATTGGAGGCACAGGTATTTTGGTGTTGCTTAAAGGAAACATGAAAGTGCTATGAAATACCAACTGAACCAGTTCGGTCTTCCAATTGCACATGCCCAAAATGAAGTGCGTTTTAGGTCATTCAAAAACAGCAATACACTTGTGCAAGGTCTGCCCAATCAGCACAGCTGTATACATGAAATTTTTGAATGACCTTGTCCCATTGAAATATTGACCTGGCTCACAAGTCACAGTTACACTGTGATGCATCTTTATTTACTTGTGAACAGATTCCATGTATCACTGAAAGTTGTTACATCTCTCCTTCATCACTGAGTTGTTTATGATTTGCTGAGTTGATCATTTGTAACTGTGCCCTTGCAGAGTTACTGGGCTACCACGAGCAACAGCAGAACCCCGACTATGAAACGACTGATGAGATGGTGGAGGAGGAGTTTCTCTCCTCGGTAACCACCCCAGCCATGGTAACCCATGAGTCACCTGATGTGCTGCCCCAGGGCCACCATCACTCTCATCTGGTGGAGGAGGGGAGCGGACTGGAGTTTGACGAGACTGCTGTGCTCACTACGACTCCGGCAGCCACTACGGCATTGGTACAGGAGACACAGGAGCCAACCACGACACGAAGAATAACAACCTGCTGTCGGCTCGGAGAGGAAGCAGGCAGAAAGAGACATCACTGTAACCCGGACAACTACTTGCCGAGGCTGTTAAGGTATGTTGGATTGGCTCTCGATGTTGGCTACCCCTCGTCGGCCACTTAGCCTATACTGCAGTAGCTTGGCACATTCGGTCAACATGGTGTAATCATCAAGTCAGTAGAGCTTTGGCATCACATGGACATCCTGTGGGGTATTTTGGACAGCCAATCTTGTAATGCAAATACTTGTCAGATAAATCTTTAACTCTAGCAACTCAGACACCCTGATGTGTGAATTCTAGGGCAGAAGTGGACACCCAATTCCACGTGCTGATTAAAATCTTCAACACGGTGCCCCTGGGCACACCCTTTTATTGCATGCAATATTCTTTAACCCTATACCCAATTTCACTACTCTAGGAAATATCAAATACATTTACGTACGGCTAATCTTCATCCACAACCCTTTTTCCCTCACATCCCAGTCTAGCAGTTCTTTGGCTCCCAGTTCGACAGGCTTGGCCCTTACTCTTCAGGGGCAATTCCACCACTGCACTTCACCCTTCCATTTTTCCGTGCTCCTCCCACACAGAGACCAGCAACGAGGACACAACTTCAAGCAGACCAACAAACACCCCAGCAAGAGCAGGACCCAATTCGACAAGTGTGTCTCGGGTGTCATCAGGAGACTGTCGGATGAGTTCCGAACGTGCTGCGAAGAGGCCTACAAGAGGATGTGGCAGACAGAAAGAGGGGAGGATGTTCACCAAGGCGATAGGACACATCTTTTAGAGATCCCATTCTAAGAACAGTGGCACTTGAGGCCAGAAGCCTCGAAGCGTACACATTTCTGTGTCCAATATTGTATTGCCATGTTGCTGGCAAGTGGAATATCTCTCGTCTTGCTCAGCATGAATGGAGCACATGTCAGTTTTCTTCCTCCCGTGAAACAGAAATAGCCATACTTTAAAATTTGTCCTTCACCCCACCAAAATGTTGGTATTTGGTGTGACCATCTTCAAAACAACTTGCAGGTTAGGGTCAAGCGTGAGATTCCCAATTGATCACTAATTTCCATATATGTCAACATACATGTAGTTGCCCAAATGAAGATGATTTTTCGGATGCCTCTTGAGCAATCAGTGAAACATTTTCAATATTTGTTATCATTGGGTTAATTTGGAATGAACTTTTGTGAAAATGGTTGGATTTCTTCTCTTTCATGTTGTGCTTGCTCTTTCAGTAACCTACTAACAGTTGCCCTTGAGCGCTCTGCTACAGGTGTAGCTCTGCACTAGAACACTGTGTCCTGATAAATTTGACCACTTTCCCAGCCCACAAGTTGGACCCCCATCAACAGCGGCACCAGAGAAATGATGTTTTGCCAATCAGTATTTCATTTCATATATTTCAAAGTCCTTTTTCTCCCATTGCCATAACAAATTTTGTGTCATCAAGGAAGGAACCCCTGAACAACTGCATTGTATTTCAAGTAAAGTTATTGACTGAAAAACCCAACAGAAGAAGAAACTGACACATTGCTATAAGAGTGGGGTTGCCATGGTTACAAGCCGCATGTTGATCTTCCCACACATGGGAGAGCAATTTTTTGATGAAATAGTTGCAGTTTTTTCAGCATTATAACAGGAATATGAATTTTCTTATCCGGCATGTCGGGTAGAGAGAAGGACACACCAAAACCACAAAATGTAGACACACTAAAAAAATCTACTTAACTCTCTTGGAATGTATAGGAAAATATCAACCATACTACTAATCAAAGATTGATAATGATCGTCCTACGAATGTTTCAAATAAATACCGTTTCAAATACTTGTTTATGTAAGCACACCAAAGTATATTTATATTAGAAGTATATTTTTCTTTCATTTGAATATATATTTGATATTGTACATAAACTCAGTTGATGTTAATCATGCATTTTGTTATTTTGTGAATATAAAAAAGGTGATATTTCTTTTTTGAAAAAAGTAGTGTCCTGGGGGAAATGACGTTATTCCAAAATATATTCCAAATCTTTATTTCTGCCTCTTATCAAGGCGTGAAGAACAGCAAATTTAACGTGAAATTTGTTTACCGCATTGAAAAATTAGAGATTTTTAAATTTGATTGTAAAATTAAGATGATTTGACCACTTCACCTTACTTGTATGGACCTGAAGTTTCCCCATTTTTCAAAGTTGGTTTTTATTGCATTTCCTTGCCTCTGAGAAAAACACATCCATTAACATGATAACAAGATTAATTTCCCCATAAGATTATCAAACATGAGGACTGTACGAGATTATCTGCTTCTCCGAATCTGCTTAGCCACCAGATCAAATAGGCCAGGAATATGAGGGGGGAGGCTAGTTATCATGGTATGATGCATACATCCCGGTTCAGTGATTTGTTTGAGTTGATGACAGCTGTCACTAAATATACCAAGCAAGGGAGGTATCATTACACGTGCCTGATAGCTGTAGAGGTATTGTAATACTTAGAAGTGTTAAGAGGTATTAAGTGTATAAAACTTTGGGATTGTAAGTTGGCTATTACAAAATAAGAGATTACTAGCCACTGTATGCAAGGATTTCATTGTAAATAGTCGGAGGTAATGTTGCAGCAATGTACAAATTGTAAAAAGTCCTGTCAATGTAAGACAAACAGTTGTGGTCTCTAATTATGAATTGTTCACTAACTGTGGGGGGGGGAATGGAAAATAGAAGTCAATATGAGAGATTCTGAAATCAACTACATTTTCACGGTGTGAAGGGAAGTGTTTTAGCAGACCCCGCTCTTCCTGCCAGGAGTATTTCTCATCATTAGTCACAGATTTCCTAAGTGTGTTGACACAAATTGTTAAACCCAACATCTAGCTCCCTCCCCCACATAATCACTGTGGTGCTGGGAACGTTGTTAACTTCAAAATCAATAAATCTATTTCGACAATTCATGTGACCGAATAGTTTTGGATCCCCTCCCCTACATCTAGTGACGGGGAGGGGGGGACGTGTGCATGATGCATGAGCAAGGGTGGAAATGTTCTTGAGTCATTCTTATTCAATTGCCACATCCACCATCCATGTTGTTATTCCTGTGGGTTTACAGTATCCCCCCAAAGACTTGGTTATAATTAGCATAGGATCCTCACAAGGCTTTCTGTCAAGGCAGGGTATTCTTGTTACTGTGTTTTTGTTTGGCATGTGGTATTAAGTCAGAGTGGCATGGGGGATTAGGGCTTTGCCTAAGGCCCACTCCCCCTCCAGGATTGAGTCTGAAGGTTGAATCATCCTCCAGTGGATAGAGTGCGAGCATAATTCTAGTAGACTAGATAGGTTTGCGGTAGCACCATGGATATATCCCATTTTTGAGTATGTGGGGTTCTGAATAGAACCGGTGGTACCACCGGTTCTTTTCCGTTACAACCAGTTCTTATCAGAACCCCTCGTACTCAAAAAGAGATACATCCATGGTGCTACCGCAAACCCATCTAGTTTACTTTCTAGGGCCAACATGAAAAGCTTCAACTCTCATCAAACATAATTCTGTTCTCTCCGTAAGGCTTTGACTGGCTAAGTAAGAAACTCAAGGATGAGCTCTCTCTAAAACATGTGGCCTACAAAATCCCCAAAAAGAATTTGCTGAAGAAAATTCCTGCCGACGCTTGTGAAAGCAGACCATGTTTGTTGTCGTTTAGAGTGCACGGTATGCAGAGGTTGTGTACGGGGGGGACGAAGAACACCTTTTGACTGGAATTATGTCCAGATGTCTCCTTGCCGCTAATCACTTTATATTGCAACCTCCTCCAAAATGGCAAATGGTGTTAGGCTTCACTGAACAATGTAGTGCATCTGTGTCCCATACAATACAAGGCATTCTCAGCTTGTGATGATGAACCAGTGTCAAATGAATGAAGTGTTAAGCAGTGGTGTATATGATGTACCTCAATACATGTACAACAGCGATGGGGCACAAACTCCTCGATGAAAACTTGTCGACCCAAAGCCAATTTTTTTCGCTTTTCAATGGATTCCTTTCCATGGTGAATTGCTAACAAGCTTCTTTGCTTTTACTACTACACCAAAGGAGGTCAGAGGTATAGTAGGAGTCGCTGTTCCGTTTCCATTTTTATAAGAAATTGTGAACAGGCTGTTTAGAATTCAAGAAAGATCTGTTATTCATAATATTAATGACGCTGACAACAAAAGAAAATTATTTAAAAAGAAAAATAAACTCGTATTGCATGAACTTCCCTTTGCTTAAATTATGCTGTAATGCATCACAAAACTGAGTAAGTTCATTAAGAAATTTCAGGTTTTCCTCTTGCATGTGCTCAAGTATTGCACATACTACAGTTTTAGTGTAACAGTTCAATGTATATAAAACTGGTTTAAAATATATTTTCATTTCAAAAATACTGATCATTTGAGCACTGTTTTGTCTCTTGAATGAGTGTGTTTTAAACAGGAAAAGCATTCTAAATGTGTAATCTTGCTACTGCCACACACAACCACTGTTGAGAACCATTCGGGGAAACATACTGCCTGGTCATTTAAGAAAAACTCCAAACCTGAGGTGTCGATCATTCGCAAGATAGATGTACTGTGTTTGATAAACACAGTACAATGCTTACACTGAAGTGAACAGAATGATAAATAAGCACAACATTTTCAAATGCGAACATGTCGTCCAGTAGAATGGCTCTTCAAAGAGAACCCACACACTTTGACAAAAAACATCAATTTGAATTCAACTCAACTTCCCACTATTGTACAAAGTGAGCCATGTTTCCTTCCATTCAAAAATCCCAGAAAATGAACAATATTTAGCATCTATAAAAACAAACTGCAATCATTTTACAGCCCCAGAGTGCGACAGTTTCTTGGTACAAAAATTCATTCCATTTTAGCACTCAATGCGGTCCTGATAGTAACTGATTACCAGTCCCGATGGCTGAAGAGGTATGATAAATGCCATGGCTGATTATAGAGAGAGTTGCGACATGAGTGTCTCATTTGTTGGAACCAAAATGGTGGATTATGCATCAGCGCAGATGGACAATTAGCAGACGATTGCTGCATGCTGTACTGCAAACATTAAACTGCCATTTTGGTTGTAAAGTCTGGAGTTGGCGCTATTCTCTCTATAAACAGCTCTGATAAATGCTAGAGTGCAGTGTCCTCTACTGTCCATGCTTCACCAACTACCAGAGGCCAAAAAAACACCCCACTTCGGGTGCCATACTTGCACACTTTGTCAGCCGTCTAAGGGGACTCTCGTTTGACTGGCTCACAACACCATGTGCACTAGTAGCTTGGGGATTTCCTCATCCTTGCCACTGCATTCTGAGAAAAAAAGATTCGTAAAGCAGTTGAAATACATGTATAAAGTATGCTTTGACGGGAGCAAAACAAATTTCTCTTGAGTATTTGGTTCAGTAATTGATGCTGACAGATATCCCCATAGATCTCTCTCATAGGCACCATCTTTGTAGGAAAATTACACCTGCGTATTTCAATGACAGCAAGCGTTTGTGCTCGCAATGTGCAAATGGTTTATACATGTGTGCGTAGATCCAAACATCTTTGAAATATGATGCGAGTCATGACAATTTAAGGTCCAAACTGCAGCTGCACGTTGGCAGTCCGTAAGAAGTGACGTCATTTGAGAGAGACCAATATTTTTCCCTTTTTGAAGTTTTGTAGCCTAATTATGAGAAATGGATTTAATGCCCGTAATTTGTATTTTCTATTGTTTTGTTGATGTTCATTGTCAACTGCGGCAATATCGGCTTGTTGGCTACATTGGTGGCATTTTCAAAATAAACCAAGAAACCAGGTGCTTTGAACCTACGACTTCTGTTCACTGATGCGGGGTCCCTATCCAATTCCTGGATTTTGTATACTTTGGTGTGTACATGACAGCATTTTTTAGGTACAAAAATTTCACTTATGAGCCAATCGGACAAAAACAAAAATATCCCACGTACGTAGGGTTGATATTGATATTTGTTAGTCTTCTCATATCTCCTGTACATGGAAAATAACTTTTTGAATGAAATTTTTTTTCCTCACTCTCAAATTCCTAAGCAGTGTATTAGCACAAATTTCACGTAACAAAACACTCAATATTTCAAAATTGAAAGCTGGGAACTGAAAGAAACATTCTTACTATGAAATGGTGAATCTTCTTCATGCAGAGCAGAAATAGCTGATGAACAAGCTTCACTGGTTTCAAATCTGGAAAACCAAAATCAAACCAAAATATGAAACAAGCAGTGAACTGAATAAGTAAAAGTGAGCAACGGTTCCCTGAAAATTAGAAGCTGATTGTACTGTTTCCTTTCCTTGAAGTTGCTCAGAACTTTTCCTGTTCAATTTTGTTTCATAAAAGACGACCATCAGCATAATTTTTAAGAGCCCGACATCTGGCATTTATCATGTGCTTGGCATCACCACAGAACATGAGTCAAAACTGTGGGACCGGCTCTTGGGGAATGTTATCAAACTGACTGGATCTCGGTAAAGACAGCCGTGACTGGTACCTGCCACTCACAGTCCATTAACTCAAGGCAGACATGTCCTTTCTCGTACGCACCGTCACATGCTGAACATGTGTGCCCCTCGGCAAGGCTTCTCATATGTTGTAATGAGGGAAGTTGTTCTGTGGTGGGGATTGGGGTTGGGGAAGGATCAAAAGGGGGGGACTCCCTTCAGTGGGGCTCTGGCTTGGCGCCTAGGGACCCTGCACAGTTTTAAGAATGCTATCACCGCAACAATCAGTTTGTGCTAGCTGTGTATCAGAAATGTACAATAAAGGTGAATGAACAAAAAATCACACACCATTGTCTAGTTAAAAGTTTTTTAAAAACATAAATAAAAATATCTCAGCGTAGAAAAAGTAAAGAGTCAAAAATAAATAAATACATGTAAACCGACTGCTAAAAAAGCAACATACTTCTACAAAGCAACCTACTTCTAATGACCTGATTCTTTCATATCTTGATATGTCTTTAAACAGTGAAACAGCCGTCAAACTTCCTGTGTGCAACACAGATGTACAGATTCACACAGAGTTGTGAAATGTACCAGTACATAAAGTAGCTGAAATGGCTAGAAATTAGTTATTTGGTATGATGTCATTCAAACGAACATAAACATACAATATAAACAAAACAATTAACCAGTGGCACATGCCATGAGTTAAAAAAAGCTTCCTTAAGCCTCCTATGCTGAAGTCACTCTTTAGGTCACTTGGTAAACACCTCAAAGAAGCACAGCTGTGTCGTGTTGTGCACTGCACCAACATGCAAGAGAGTGACCTTGGGCACTTGTGCATATTTGTGCTGTAAAACTAAAGGAGGGTTAAAGCTGTGACCCAAAGGCCTCTAATTCACTTGCCACTTGCTTACACAAACAAATAGCAAATATCAGGGCAAATATTAAATGTATGCTCAGGGGTTGAACATTAAAATCAGCCGGTTATTAGTTCACATCCTGTTTGAGGAGTCGGACTGTGGCACAGCCTTATGACGCACTGAACAGGCACTGTCGATGACACAGTGTCCCGAACAGTGAAGCTCCCTGTTCGTTTCATATCAAAAGGATCAAGTTCCTGCCCAGCTGCCATTGGTTGGCAAAAACAGCTGAAATCAGTTGTTGTACAAAGAAAAAAACCCAAAGCTGCAGGGTTGCATTAACTACGATTTTTGTTAAGATACATGTAATTTCGCTTCCCACTGGCCCAAGCCACATTTTCTGCACTCCGGTCACAAAGATGGGTCATGCCCGGAGCACTGCGTACCTGACAAAGGCAATCCCGATGCATTTCTGGGAATCATTATCCCTGAGTATGTTGCAGTCGATGACAGGTCCAAAGCCGTACATGACGGACGTCAGGTGCTCCTCCGTAATGTCTTCTGGTAGACATTCCACTTGGATCAGATTGGCTCCGCCGGGAATGCCCTGCGAAATTGGGTAAAAAACAAAAAGTGACTACATTTGAAGGGAAAAAATTACGCCAAAGCTGCAAAATAAAGCATATTATTGCATGCTCTAGATACTTGCCCACTGCTTATATAAACAAACTGTGATGAATAAGCATTCCAACTGTTACTGGGCACAAATAACATTTCATACACAAGGCCAGATGTAATAATTTGGAAGTGACTTTCTCTTTGCCCAACTTAAAACACTTAGCAGTCAAATTCTCCACCTGTTTTCCCAAGATGGAATTCAAAACATTTCTTGTCACACCTCTAAGTTATAAGTAACTTTCCTGCATCTTACAAAATCTATGCAGCAAAAATAACACGTTCTCAGCACTTCCATTTTCTTGGTACTTCAAGCATCATGTGGAAGTCATGGTAGCTGGGCTCAATTTTCCTAAATCCTACGGAATCCTCCAAATCCTGATGGAGTTTGGAGGATTCTCATGCATCAGGATCAGTGTTATGACCAGGAATACAAACCAAATATCTGTATCAAAATGTCCTATTCCTACTAGCTAGTCCAGGTTTCAACTCTAAACCTAGCCCAAATCAATTAAAGATCCAGGACCAATAGACTGTATACATGTGTCGGTTATCTCGAATTCATAGTGAGATAGAACTTGTTTGGGGAACCTGTGAGTAGAAATAACGGCAACAAAATGAAAGTTAAACTCATGCCAGTTTTGGTTTAGAACAAATTAAACTTTGTGATATATTATATTTGAATACTTTAAACCACATTTAAGAAAAACTAAAAGTGAGGTTTGGAACCAAAAATAGTCTGACACCATCCCAATTAACAAATTACAGTGAACATGATAGACTCAGGGAACAAGATGGAAAATTGCCTCACTGTGAATAAGAGTTTACTGAGGCTTGCATGAAGAAACATTCATTCAAGTCATGATAAGGGCATGTCTGTCGGAGGACACCATTAGTGGAACAACAGAAGTAACAACTCTCCAGTAAGAAGTAAAATATGTGCAGATCTCTACCTCTCCTTCCTGACGACTCGTTCCACTCAAATCATTTTCCGAACCTCTTTCTTTGCTTCCATTCTCAGGAAGAGCACTTCCAACAGTGGAGCAAGCAGCAACCCCTTCTGATCCGTTCATCCTGGGAGCACCCTCCTTGTCTTGGCTTCCATTTTGCCCTTGGGAAACACGCCCTTGGCTCCTCTTCGTCCTCCTCCACTTCCTGCTGCCATCCCCACTTCCCTTCCCAGAACTGTCCAGCGAGGCCCTGTCCCACTGGTTCGGCGTACGCGAGATGGCGTTCAAGGCATCCTGGAGGCTCAAGCTCTTCTTGGGTCCATTCTTACCGCAGTTGGACTGGCAGGCGGATGCGCCCACGCCTGGCCACTGTTCCCGGCTGCTGAAGTCCAGCAGGGGGGCTGTCTGGGTTGATCGGAGGGATCCGGAAGATCGCTGGTGCTTGTTCCCAAAAGGGTTGAAGCCTCCCTGGCCCGCCATGGGCTTGCCCAAGAACTTTTCCATCAGGCACGCCTTGCCTGCAAGGATGTCACTGGTGAGACCTCGTGAGGCTGCACCCAGGAAATCCTCGCTCAGTGAAGAGGGTGAAGCCTGACTAGACATCCAAAGGGAGTCTTGGGGCTGGATACTTCCTGAGAGGCTTTGGCTGGAGAAAGTCTTCAAGATATTTCCTCGCCCAGCAGGTCGTCTGGGAAAGTTCTAATTTGGTCACAAAGCAGAAACAAAGTCACTTGGGTAACAATAGTTTGTAGCAACGTCAACATGTGTGGACCCAAAATGTTCTAAAAATATGTTCTGAAAAACTGACAAACCTTATCCATTCAAATGACATGTTTCTCTCCAATGCCTGTGTTTCAAGTCACACTTTTCTAAAAAAAAAAATACTGGCCAATTTTGTTATTGATCTGGTTTTTATTTTTCCTGTCAATTTTCGAACATATTAATCAGGACTCCTTTTTGCAAGATCATGGCGACATACTCACTAAATACTCTTCTTAAATGCAAGAGACACTCACATCCTTTTCAAAAAGACCCTAAAAACTTTGTAGGAAACCTTTGATTTTTTTTAATTGCTTTTCAACTTTGCACGAAGTACTTATTTTCTGAGCCTCACCTTTTGTCTGATTCTATCCAAAAATATCCGTGGAAGTCTGACATCTTGCGGATCTCGTCTCTTCCTACTGCCCCGTCCCACAGACACAAACTTGAAAGGTGTGGCAACTCGGTCTGACAAGTCCTCTTCAGACTTCAAATGAAATGATGTACACTTCAATAAGCCATTTGCGAGTTAAATTTGAATACAATCTGGTGCACTGAGTTATCTGACTGCACACGCACATAACAATTTGAATTCCCCATACTAAAGACACTGTTGCTATACCTCATGATTCGGGGCAAGCTTTTGCATAGCGACCATCATCTCTGGAATGGACTGGTTCCTTTGAGCCCTTCTTATCCAATGTACTGTTGCAAGGTGTCTCTAATGTAACTAAGCAAAAGCTTGCCCCGAATCATGAGGTATCGCAACAGTGGTTTTAGTAAGGAGAATTCAAGTTGTTATGTTCAAGTGAATTTAAAGAACTCAGTGTACCAGATTTGGGTCAAAGTTAACTCGCAAAAGGCTTATTGGTTTTTTTCCTTACAACACATCCTGTAATTGTAGATTCAGTGGGAATTATTCAATCAGTTGTCAATATGACACCACAACAATGAATGCAACAAACCCAGGAAAAGTCGTCTACAAGCTCCTTGTCTCTTTGCTTCCAATCTAGATCTGGTTGCCATGGTGAACCTTCCATCTTCTTCTCAGCCCAGCACTTGTAATGCCTGCTCTTTGTCGACTGTGCTAAAATGAACAGGATAAGCAAACGGTATGTCTCTCGTGGATTGATGCAGAAATGGAACTTTAGAAATTAAACTTATAAAAGTTCAAAGTTACCTTTTTCAGAAGTAGAGTGAATTTGACTGTAGTACATTTACTTAGGCAAGGAAATAGAGTTCATTCGTGTCAGCACTGGGTTGATCCCTTACGAAATCTCCAACTTTCCTTCCCTTTTCTGAAACTATTGTCCACAACCCTGAATTACAAAGACATGGCAATAAGCGACTTGCGAGTTAAATTTGAATAAAATCTGGTACCCTGTGTTATCTGATTGCATAGAAACGTAACAATTTGAATTCCCCAGACTAAAGACACTGTTGCTATACCTCGTGATTCGGGGCAAGCTTTTGCATAGCGACCACTATCTCTGGAATGGACTGGTTCCTTTGTGTCGTTCTTATCAATTGAGAACAGTGTATTGATGCAAGGCATCTCTTATGTAAGTAAGGAAAAGCTTGCCCCGAATCACGAGGTATAGCAAGTGGCTTTAGCATGGAGAATCCCAACTGTTATGTTCACGAGAACTTAAAGAACTCACTGTACCGGATTTTATTCAAATTTAACTCACAAAAGGCTTATTGGCTGATGGTGGAATCATCAGTGAATCATGTAATAGGTAAAACTGACTGACTCCAACATCGATAACCAGGGTGATAGGGCCTATGTGAGACTGAGACAAAGGGGGATAGGTTTTTCCAAAGTACGGAAAACTTGTACGCATTTACGTATGACACTCAGAAACTGTGATGGTCCAATATGTTATGTCCTAACAAAAAAAGCTGGGCATGCCCAACTTGGATAATTTAGCAGTTCCAAAAATAAAAAGGACGCAGTTAAATAAAAATTGCGAGAAATGCACCGTTAGCAGTTTTCAAGAGTTTTGAAATGTTTTTGCCATGGGTGGAGTGACTTAAATTTTAAATGGCTGTTTTTTGTATGACGTTAGTTCATTTTACTGATCATGCTGATATATGTAGTCTCATGTGGATAGGTTAGGGCGCAGTATAGGACGTGTTCCACTTACCAATGAACATGTGCCATGATACCAACACTTCATGAAATTGCTCTCGTCCGTCCTCTACCATATGTGCTTATTTCTTTTGGGATAATTTTTTTCTTCTTTTTCTCTCTTTTTTCTAACAATAACACAGGAGGCCTAGCTCCAGAGACTCCAGGCTGTTTTCTTTTCCCACTATTTTCTAATTTGTAATCTCAACATAATTGCACAATTTTACTTGTTTGCTCATGCCCGTTTTCTGTGCCGTTAAAATGTTTCTCTCCAACTAAAGGTGGATATGTTGAACTGTGTCAATAAAGTTGGAGCTGTGAATCAGCCTGGCAGGACGTTGATACTTTACAAACAATGTAAATTATCCCATACACCAGGCCGATGGCAATAAAAACTTAAGTTTCACACACAGACATATAAACACATAGACTGCCAGTATTGTGCATATAACCGTAGTTTTGAAAACAATAGGGGAAATGATGAATGGGAACGCATTCAGTGCGCAGTACATGTACATCCACATGGTCCAACGCACACCCATTGCTCCCAAAATACGTTCACCAAGGCCTTTTGCTCTTCGGTTCGCTAGGCCTCTCTCTTCTTTTCAAATGTTGTAACCACAATGTTTTGAATCCCTATGGGCCAGATTAAGTAAACAGAGGATTTTTTTATAATTGAAAATTGGCTTCATGGAATTTTATGGCTGGAATTCTTCAACCGTGCGTACATGTACATTCCGAGGGGTGAATTTGCCCATAGTTTTGACATTGGTCGGGCGCCGCGCAGATCACGAAAAAAAAGCATGATCTGGCGCCCGTGACAGTCTATGCGTTTAATGCCTGTCGTTTCACATTACAGTGTACATATACATGTACATGATGTTGGGAACTACGTCTGATGTAGCTTTTACGTGTAGGTATAGTACATGTGTCATCGCGGTGGCTAGCTGTGGTCTAAACTTAACACAAAAATGTCGACTGCTATGAATTTTGGACAGAAGAGCTTCAAACCTCGACCACCAGACAAGGGTAGCTTTCCACTAGATCACGAAGGTAGCTTATTTTCTGCTGTTTTCTCTCTAATTCACAGTAAAAATACATTGAACCTCCAACCGACTTCGTCAGATGCAGATCACACGCGATCGCATGCAAGCACCAGCGATTTATTGCTTAGCGCCCTCAAGTGTTATAACACGAACAATTATAGATTGCACACTGCATTTTTAATCAAATAACGTTTTGGAGATTTCTTTTTCTTTTTAAAATAAGTTTGTTTTAAGTTTATGGGTCCATGGATACTTCATTTAGGATAAACTATAGCATGAGTGCATTGTACCCATGATCATCTGCGACAGGAAAATCATTTTTTTTAAATCCAAGGACCAAGTAAACTAGGCCTCTATAGTATATGGGGCAGCGCAGACATCCGGAATTCTCGCAAAATGGCAGATGCTGCCCCAGTGAAAACAGCAACCATGGCGACGTACACACATACCAGCCAGTCCGAGGATTGGGTTGCACAATCTTTTCTTTGATCAGTGCGTACGCATGCACGCACCTGTTGCAGTTGTTTTCATCGACGCAGTGTGGTTGCTACCCACACCCAATTTGTAAAACTCCTGGATGTCCGTGCTGCCGCATAATAAATACACACTCTCATTTGGCTAATTGCTCCTGCAAGATGTCACACACAGTCATTTAAAGTAACTGCAAGCACATGTGCATCATGTCAACGTTTGTCCATGCTTCGACAATGGCAATGTCTAAAAAAGGTGTGGTCTTTGTACACATTGTTGGATATGAACTTTCATTCTTCAAAAACCTAGACCTATTGTACCCCCAGAACTGTGGGGTTCGTCATCAACCACACTCCTAAGTGGGAGCGTGACAGACAACGAATCCCACAGTTCTGGGGGTAGACTTTCGAACAGATCATATTCAAAATGACAGCTTGGCTAAATGAATAATATATCAGGCAGTTTAGTCCCATAACTGTCTTAAATCAAACCAAGTACACTTTTCAACAATGAATTTTGTTTGTTACTTTTTGGATAGCTTCAAATGGTGGACCAAGTACATAAAGCTGTTTGGTATTGCAACAAAATCCCAGCAGGACCCTGCCAGCATAAAATTGTCGGTTCTAATTTATTATCAACACGGAGGAAGGTCCTTTCCTTCCTCCATGCAATCAACCAAGGGAAAAACCACTCAAAATTAACCACTAAAGCATAGACGGGCTATTAAACTTGCCTTACTGCAGAAGACTTTGGCGGCTTAAATTATTTATTTTGAAGTTTATTAAATGCCTACAAAATGTACCAAATACAATTGAATTATGAGGCTAGTTGCTCCCTGTTTTAAACAGGGCACAACAAGACAACCCATATGTTCCTGTACATGTCAGCCAATTCCAAATGGATTGATCAATGCAAGTGGGCTTTAGTTCAAATCCCAGCCCTAATGCGGGCGAAGCCCTCTCCTCAAAACAGTCCTGTCAAAGAAAAGAAATACCCTGACCACAGGCACAAGGACGTACAAATCTAGGGCAAAAAGGAATGGGCCGGAACAGGTTGACCCATGTCTTAAACAAATTACATATAGAACGAAAAGATAAATGGGAACATCCCACGCCTCTCGATGTTCCCAGGTCTGTTCCAAGTCCCTATGGAAATTTCCTTCACCCTTGGTTTTATAATGGCTTACAAATTAGTCACATAATGAAAGTAGTGACATAAAATGTAAAGTCCCAAGAATCTATGTAACAACAAATGACCATTTAGTTTATTAAGCTCTGAAAGAATAAGGATTATTTCAACAATGCTGTAGGATTTATGTAAGCCTCGTGGCCCGGGGGGGGTCAACATACTTTGGATCAGACAGATGGATATCACACTTACTTAAAAATGCTGAACTGCAAAACTGTAATCGAAACAATCTTGCACTATATTATTATATATATTATTTATTTTTTAGGAGAATGTAAGATTTTCAAGGAGAAGTTTATGGAGTGTCTGAGGAAACATCACAGTGACAACAACAAGTGTCGGCAACAGAGCATGGAATACCTCCGGTGTAGAATGGATAGGTACAGGACATTCTGATTAAATCTTACTGTTCACCGAGTGACCTGGTAGTTAGTGCATGACGAGTCCTTGTGTCATCACCCACTGGGCTGCCCACCTTTCCTTGATGTCTCCACAGGGGCAGATCCACACATTTTTCTGGGGGTGGGAGGTGTTTCTGTGTACCTCTATTTTGCGGACAAGCAGATATGAGGATGAAACCCTATAGGCCTACATGACACACCAGTACATTGTTTATGACATTGGTGCACTTACTTCAGTTAGTTTCTATTATCCCCCCATTGTTTCCCTTTTCTGGGAGGGGGGTCTCAGAGCAGGAAGGAGGTTCAACCCCCAAATCCTCCCCCTTCCACCCCTTCGTTATGCCATTGGACATTGCAGAGGAGAAGTCCTCTAGATGCGTCTCATCTGCCTCACCAGACACAGGATTTTGGGTCACTTAATCAATAGCCAAGTGCTGCATTACATGTGAATTGCTTGGAATCAAGACTCTGTGTAAGAAGGGTTTTTTGGTTGGAACCAAGTTTAAAAATCTTTAAAAAGTAAAGAAGCTGAGGCCAAACATGTTCTCTTTTGGGGTTGACTTTTTTTTGGAAGTAAGGGACAACACAATGCTCATATTTTCTGCTTTAATTTTTACAAACTCTGGCAGTTTTCTTTCTCATTTTCCATCATCACAACTGAGTATCAGTACTTGTCATTTAAACCATAAAGTGACATATCATTTGCAGTTGCCCCACCATGAACTAATACACACTGTATCATGTGAGCAAAGTCTCCGAAAGATACCGCACTTCATGATTCTAAACTGTCAATTCCAAGTGCAACTAACAAGTTGGCCTTTGGCAAATGCAGTTAAGGTCATACATATTTCCAAAGGCAGAGTATCCCCCAATCTTCTGCTTTGACCAGAAGACATTCTAGACACTGTTTATATTTCATCTTGGTTATCAAGTCTTACTACAAGTATGTGGCTATTGTTCCAGCCTTGTTCCTTTTCACTTATTACTTCCTCAGAGACCTGATGACAAAGGAACCCTTGAGAAAACTTGGTTATGGAGATATCGATTCCACAAAGGAGAGGAACAGCTAACGAATGATTCAGAACTTTTAAAACAATCGCTGGACAATTGAGACGAGGTTGCACAGCTGAAGTCCGCACGTACGGCTAAAGCATACACATGTAGCTGCAGAGGGCACGTCTTGCTGGCGGTCTTATGGCAAACTCACTTTGGCCCTGGGAAAAACTATGGGAACTTTTATACTTTTTACCCTGTGATACCATACGGTAGCAATGCTGGCCCAATGGCCATGTGGAAAAGCTCTTGGCAAGGAGCGTGAGATTCTTGTCTTGTTCAGAGTGATTGATTCATAGTAACTTTCATTCTGAATTGTGACAAGAGGCATTATACCAGCCATTGCATGAAAAAACCTCTCTGGTGTCAGCAGGTTAGAACAAAAATGGCTTCTATATATGGTATAACCAACAGAAGCAATTCCCGTTTTCTTCCAGCCAGTTGCAAACTGTCCAGTTAATTTTATCTGTTTCTGTTTTAATATTCTACCTGTCAATGTAAGAGTTGATCCCAGAAAATTCCAGTTTTCCATTTTTAAACCTGAAGCCTCCTGTGAGCTGCGTCAGTGCTCTATCTTAGCTATCTAAAGTTGGAAGTCTCTCATTCTATGAAGGACAGGTTCAGATCCCACTCCAACCAATATCCCTGTGCAACACTTCATCCAAATTGATGTCCAATACAAGGGAAAAAATTGTCATTTTCGCATGTGGTGCTTTGTGCGCTTTATTTATCAAGTAAACTGTTGCCACTGTGGCATTCACGTGATCTTCAACTCTGGTCATGTCATAATGAGCAGCATACATGTACATATGGAAGCTGGTAGAGTGTCCTACTGAAGGACATGTGATCAGAAGGAAACAGTTATTTGGGTCTATCAGTTTGACCTCTGAAGTGATGTGAAAGTTATCTGGCAGTGTAACCAATGTCTGTCATGGTTTTGTTTTCATCACAGGTCACAAGATATATAGTGAGTTGAAAGTTCACTTATGAAAATACACCCTTGGTTTGGGTCCAAACTTGAAAACTACATGTACATATCATGTGTATTGGCTATTCATTTTGCAAAAGAACACTGGATCACACACAGTGCGTGCTGTCATCTATTGGAAGCATTTATGCCATCGAATCACAGTGTACAGTTTCATTTGTAGATATTTCAGGAATGAATAAACACCGATACAAAATATTAACAGCAGAATGTAATACCTAGCTGCCTTGGTAACTTTGAAAAAAATTTAAAAAGCAGGTATTTCACAATATTGGTAATAAGTGTATAAATTTTTACTGTTCATCATACATGTTTTTCTTTACTTTTCACGAAGAGTATTTTTTCCAGTTTAACCGTTGCCAATTGGAAATTAAAATTAGCGCTAATGCAAAGCAGCAGTTGGTGTTAAAACAAACCTGGAGTAAATTTATTTCTTCCAGTTTTTATTCCTGTATGTTCTAAAAATGAATTCAATTTGTAAGACAATTCTGTTTGCTTAATATTAGTCACTGAACATAGACAAAACTTCACAAACTCCAAAGTAGTATTTCAGATTTGTAAAATCTACAGAGCTGTGGATCTCAGGGCCCGTTTGTTTCACATGGATCTGGATCACGATCAGTGATCTCAAGGCTGGTTCACCCTATCCATGAGGCGGAAGCTGGTGTCAGTGAACCAACGTCGGATCACTGATTGCAATCCAGATCCGTGTAAAAACAAACAAGGCCTAAGCTGACGTACAGCTTATAGAGTAACGAAGCATGAAGTCATTACAACCAGAAAGTGAAGTGCCAATGAATTGAGTATGCGTGCATGCGTGTTCACACACTGGTTCTTGCACTTATGCCCTTACACGCAATTGTGTGTTTGACGTATTCACTTTGGTGCTCTGCAGCACCTTATGTAGGCTATGATGGTGTTGCATACTCCACTGGGGCAGAGCTGAATTCAGAGACAGTTGTGACATGAAGATGTATAGGATGCCATTTTGTTTCCAAGTTGGTTGTGTACGTTGGGTTACATTAATTTATTGACTGAAAAAATGACCTATGGACATTTGATCATCTGCTGAGTACATTCCAATATATCCACAGGGGTGTGCTTTCGCATCAGACTTTGGATCCAAAATGGAAGATGCCAAATCTCTGCATACGATTCTGCACTGGGGAAATGGAATGGGTTTCAGGAATGACTATGGTAGAAGTCTGCTAATTGGGGCAACAACACCAGAAAGATTTTCTGAAGAAATATCCTGAAGTTCAAATACATGTAATATTACTTAACACTCTTCAGAGAACCGTGGCTCCCTTGATTATTCTCAAGTTCAACTTTACATTATTTGACAGGCTTCACAGAACCTTAGCTCTCCCTTGATTCTATCTTGTCCACTGTCTGGTCATAAAAAGCAATTGCCAGCAGCAAGCAGTTGGCTAAGTGCTCCTTCTCGTGCTTGGTCGCTGCCTGGAATGTTTCCGCGTCCTCCCAGCTCATCCTGGCCGGCAAATCGTCATCACTCTCCCCTCTCTCCATTCCATCCCGGAGCAGCGTGGCAACAATGTCCCGCCCGCTCATGCGTGTCCCCCTGACCTGTAGGCCAAAGTGGCGTCCAACTTGTGTCTGGGGCACGGAGATGGCGCGCGGGGTACCGATGTCATCCCTGTTGTGGTTCAGGGCCGTGTACAGCATGCTCTGCAGCGTGCGCTGGTAGAGAAGCATCTGGAAGGTGCCCTTGTTGGCGTTGGTATAGGATTGGTGCTCGAGGACGTACAGGTCTGGCTTCGGCATTTCAGCAATGGCATTTGTGATCTGAAATTAAGAACAAAAACAGGTATCTTCATGACGTTTAGTGTGGTACACATTCCACTAGCCGATTTAAATAGACTTAAAATTAAATGGTGTCCCCCCCAAACTTCTAAAAAAAAATGAAAACTACAACCTCCAGGAGAGGACACAACAACCTACAAGATACATGTAAGACACAGACATCATGATGCCATCAGTCTGTCTTCAGACAGCAGATTGTGCCTTGTGCATTTGAAATGGTGCCTAATGTAAAGTCCTGACCATGATGGAGTACTGTTAGTGCCCATTCTTGAAATAAACATGCAATTGGGTGTTACTTAAGAGTAAAAAAAAAGTTAATTTAGGTTTCTAATAAAATTTTGTTAAATCATAAACATTACACTGCTTTGTATTATGCTACACTCGTGACACCAAACCCAGAGCAATTGGGAACATTTTAACCAATGGATGTCACCATGAAGACAACCCTTGCAAAGACAAAAAGACTGTTCATTCCAATAAATATCAGTTGTGCATGCTCCATGCAAAGTATTCGTGAGCCTATATATGAGTCTTTTCTAATGCAAGTCCCCATCTCTGGAATGAACTACCATTTAATATTCGTTCTATCCCCTCAATCTCAGAGTTCAAAGTTGCCTTGAAATCCCACTTCTTCATTAACAGTAATTAGATTATTTAATTATTCTTTTTTTTCTTTTTCTTGATTGTACTGTGCCATGTGCGTCTCGAGAGGCAGATACCGGCGCACGATAAATATTCATCATTATTATTATTATTACTACAAGAAAACAATTCTGTCTCCAGCCAGGAGCTCATACGGGACAGATTAGAATCCTTGCTCACCATCTTGTGGTAGGTCGGTGGGTCCCATTTCCCGGCCTTGATACCCACAATGTCTTTCACTCTCCACTGCCACACCTGTCGATCCCTGGTCATGTACACCCAGCTGAGATGCTTCAGACCAATGTCCACGGCCACTATGTCTTTCAGGGACTAGGAATTCAAAGCCAAAAATACAACAGTGGAAAATGAAAATACAGGTATTAAAACAATCACCAATCTGGGACAAAACTAGTGTGTGGATGGTTCCATTGACACGGCCCTGGGCACTCGTGTTCCACACAGCCCAAGAGTTCTAGGTGTACCCAGTCCTGTGGCTCATGACATGGGGAGATGTGAATCTCCAGAAGGCCTGTTGATCTCTAGATGGAGAGATCTGAATCGCCCCATGTCATTTTCAAGTAATTCCTCAAACATAGTTACATGTACCTCTATCCTGCTAGCTGCAACTCCAAATTGGTCCCCCTCTGTTGTGGGTCCCTGGTTGTTCCCAATGTTCACGTGAAGCGAGGGCTTTAGGATTTCCCGGCAGATCCTCTGCAGCGTTTGCCGGCCGATCCCAGGCACTTTCAACAGGTCTCTCACCTCAGCAAAGGGCCCGCTGGATTCCCGGTGCGACACAATGGATGCCGCAACGTTCGACGAGACATGCTTGATTGCGGCCAGATCCCTCTCTGACACCGTGTTGATGAGTTGGATGATTTTTGTTGGGTCTTCATCGCTGGCACTGCGACTGACGAGATCTGAAGTGTCCTTTTTCTGAGAGAGGGTTTCTTCACGCTGTATCCTTGGAGAATTATCCGTAAGTGACTCGCCCTCTTTTGAGGCTTCTTGGCATAATGATCTTACTAAACGAGGCCATGATGCCTGTAAAAAGAAAATTAATCCCAAAATGAGTTTATAGGAAGGAGGCAAACTGAAAGGAATTACATTTGTGATCCAGAAGCATGGTGGTGTATTTTACTGTCACATTTACAGGTCTAGAAGGGGAAAGATTTCCATATTAGACCGTTGCACTCAAGTGTCGTAATGTACCGATGTGAAAAGTTAACTATAATTATGCATGGCGTGTGAGCATCTGTGAATATCCTTGAGTGCGTACATGCATGAGACTAACCAAAAGGTTTACTTTCTGTTCTCAAAAAGAATGTAGTGAGCTGGTTTTTGGCAGTTGAAGAGGAAAAACACCATTTGGGATTCGGAAAAGGAAATAAAGAAAAGAGACTTTGTAAACCTGACACTATGCAGTGTGGCTGTCTTAAAGACAGTATACGGTGGGTGTTCTTTCAATCAAATATCGCCATCCAGCGACTGCAGTGTACTAAAGTGCAACCTCGTTCCCATGGGTACGATCTTGCCGCTCCATGTTGGTTCCTACCATGCCTTGCTCTATCTTTGAAGGAATGTGCATGCAGCCCATAGAGTCGTGGTTGACTAAAGCGACCCTTTTAATTATAGGTTTTGTATACTCAGAGCTTGTCTGAAAAGGTGACCTTCTGAGGTGGGAGCCTATGANGCAAACCAGAACGTCGAGAAGGCATCTTTAATCAGTTCATGGTTCCAGAACCATTTAGAAGTTCCCCTTCCTATCTGCACACAAAGATTTCCCCGGACTGTGCTCTGCGTTCTGAATCTGACCCTTTACAGTGAACACCAACAAGTTCAACCCACTTTTCATGCTAGCCTATGCAGTGGTTAACTTGTGGCACTTTTCACCTGACTTTAGAATATGTTATAATAGACAGGGGGAAGAATTCCATACATGGACAACATTAATTCTCCCTGCAGTGGTAAATCAGCAAACTGAAAGCGATAACCTACTAGAAAGTAAAATCTAGCAGGAAAAATACTGGCAAATTTCATTAGGAATACTTAGACATGTTAGAAGTTGTAATTTTTCAAACCAGTCTGGTAATATAGGGGTCCAGTTTAAGGTTTCTACACCACACAGGCATGACCATGATGGCAGGATGTTAACTACCCCAAGAAATGTGGGGTCTGACATCCGCCCTGCTTGTCACGGGAGCGGGGCCGACGTCGGATCGTACAGTTCTGGGCCGCGGTAGGTGTCAACATGGTAAAGTGATGTCTCCATTCGTGTACATTGAGCGCAATCTTTGAAAGTGAGAAAATTTAAAATTTGTGTGCTCAATTTTAAACTTTGCACAACCACAGATATTGCCATGAAAATTTGACATCATGATAAAAGTTATGTGGATACATGAACCCAGGCAACAGTTGAATGTAAGAGACTGACATCAACTACATATTTTGCACAATTTGTTGGGTCTATTTCGCATGTGACGTTTGTGAGCTGCATGTACAGCGTGGTATGTACAGTGCTTACAGGGCCAGGGCACAGTGCATCACGCCAGCCGGTTGTGAGAAATCTGGAAATTTGCCATTTTAGCATTTTGATGAACAGTGCCACATGAGAGCTATTAAATTCAGAAAATTCTCAGAACCACGCATGTATTTAGTAGAAATATATATCTGCAATAAAATTAAAAGTAGGATACCAGACAAAATAAATAACAATCAGGGAAAATAAGAATTTTGGCATGACCCCCAAAACTACTAGTTTGTACTGGAATCCTAGCGTTTCCTGAAGGCAACAGTTTCCAAGCTTGACTGGTGCCAGATAACTGGAGACTTCGGAGGGAACGGGACTCCCTGCGCCACCAGCCGCCTCGTACTCCCTTTAAAAATCACACAGTTGGAGGCAAAAAATTACGCACATTGAGATAGCACTCAACATTATCTGCGCTGATTTAAAATAGGCCTATACTTAACCTAATCAAAATTGCTCAAGGAAAATTGTGCATGTTGCGCAAATTTAAAATTTGCGCACTTTCAAACATTGCACTGAACATGTACATGTACAACCGCCTTTCTTTAGGATAACTGTTTATGACATTGACACTGGAGAAGTTTCATGGTCCGATAAACTCAGAAATACCTGTGCAGAGAAACTAAATCGGCACCAGAACTTCACGACTGACATTTTTTTCCGGTCATGCCCGTTCTAAAAGTACTGAAGCGCCTCAACTAAGCTGGTCAGTGTGTGCGAGGACTTGTAGTACCTGTGATTCTACCTCCATGGTAGTACGCACGTGTACAATGCTGTTGTTACAAGAACGCCCCCTGTCGCTCGCGTTGTGCATAAAAGAGGGCGCTCTTTAAAAGTTCCTTATCTACGGAGCTTTCGAAGTGCCACAAATTTGTCGTATCCTAAAAAAATTTCTGTGTACGTTACTGGAGGATAACATTTTCTCAGGCAAAAGTGACAGTGATACAAACAGAGCTGGATAACTGAAGCGATAATAAGTAATTTTTTCTCTTATTCTATCTACTGCACCCCTGTTCGTCTCACTTTTTTATCGCTGCTATATTTCGCTGCCGGAAGCTTTCGGGGGGGGGTTGCTTTTCTAAGTTTGCCTAGTCTAGAATTATTTGTGTATATTTATTTCACTTGTAATCCAGTAAGGTACTAGCGCATTATGGATTTTGGTTTTTCTCTCTATCTTTATATCGCAGTTTGCTGTTTCCAGCTTGACATTTTTTATTACATTTTTATTCATTTTTACGGTAAGAGCTTGTTTTACTAAAACTGTCGGGTATCAGTGGAAATCAGCTTAAGTTGAGCTGATTTAACCCAGGAAAATCAAGAGCAAATAAAAAAGATGAATAAATAAATACAAATTGGCTGTAGTTAACATTTTAACTCTTGCTTTCCTAATACTTGGCAGGAATACATGAACTTGTTACGGATCAGTCATATATCTTGTGGGAAATGAATCAAGGTGCGTTCATGTTTAGTTTTCTTGTTGATTTTAACATATTTTTTAAAATGTTCTTACACACGTGGGTTCTGCGCTGTAAAATATTGTCCGTCCATTGGAATTAAATGCACAGTTTAAAATAGGCACCCTTTCGGTACCTGACAGAGTGGCAAAGTAATAGAAGTTTACAAATGTTTACAATAATGTTGAAAACCATTCTTTCGTATGAGTTTGGTACGCTGAAAAATTGAGAAAGCACTAAAATGTAAACAAGGAATTTCTAGTTAATATAATGTAAACAAGAACATGACAAGGTCAACAAACTTTTCTACTTTATTTGTGACGTCACACACGAATTCAGCTGGCAACCGGCGTGCTAGGTATCCGGACGTCTATCCGTGTTTTACGGTGCGGAGGCGCAGAGCGACGCGCGGCTGCTGTGCGTAGGCGCTAGACTCAAGCTGAGTGACAGAGAGGACAAACGCGATTTGTCATTCGTGCGGAATTTAACGTTTTTGTTGGCCTATTAACGGAAATGATGGTGTCGATGTGGATATTCCATTATTCCAGGATGTCGGCACACGAGCTTTGAATCGAAGACATCAAACTAATGAGTTATGTTGAGATTCTGAGATAATTCTTTCCACAATTTTCATGTATCGGTCGTTCAGCAGTTGACGGAAAGATGGTTCAGCAGTACAAATCTCCGGTGAGGGTGTACAAACACCCGTTCGAGCTCGTTATGGCGGTATGTATTCCCAGTCATGTCGGTGAATTGGTGCCATTTGTAACTGAATACAAATTATACACAGAGTCATTGGCCTATTTTGATCTTAATTTTTTCATCATGGTTAGCCTATTAATATTATATTATTTATTAAAGAACAAATCACAACTTCACTCAACATGGTCAGTCATGGTCATATCCAAAGATTGTATAGCGCCGAAGGCGCAAGATGGATAACTCTGCCCAAAAGATGTAATTACCATGGGCGCCATTTGAGCAAGTGATACGCCTGCACAGTTTACGGTAATGCTTAGCCGCAGGCTCACCAGGTGCACGTGCCTGCTGCGGTGCCTGTGCATTAATGTGCATTGCGCAGGCGTATCGCTTGCTCAAATGGCACCCATGCGATTACAACGTTTTACGTGTATTCATGGTGAAGTTCGCCATCTTGTGCCACATACAATCTTTGTTCATGTCAGTCTGATTTTGGACAGCTCGACTGTTTGCCAACTCGACCTATGACAACTGGACCGTTGAGACAACTTGACCGGCGGGACATTTTGACCGTTTACCAAGTCGTCCGTGAAGAGTGAAGTTCAAGGCATGTACACGACAGACATGACAGAGTTTTGGGCAGTTAACGGAGATTGCATATTGTGTTATGTTGCGACTCACCGGGCATAGCGTGCTTAGAGACCAGGTGATGCAGCATGCACAAGACTGGTGGACGGCACGTTGGCTGCTCTACCAGCGTGGCCGCGACAGCGATGCAGAATGCACGGTGGTGTGGCGCACAGTCCACGGTGCACAGGTGCTGGTGTGGGAGACAGTGAATCTGTCCCTTGGTCCTTTCTATTTTTTCAATTTGAAGAAAACATTCAGCCATCACATTACGAGTCAACTTGTCTCAATCTATGATATGTCGCAATGGTTGAGTTGTTGAGGCACAGATGGTTGAGTTGTCCCACCGATCGAGTTGTCTCAACAGTCAAGTTGTTTTGAATCCAGTTGGCAAATGGTCAACCTGTCTGAGCACCGCTCAGTCAGTCTGCAGTTCTTTGCTGTTGGATTTGATGTGATAATGATGATCAGCTGATCTGCATGATCACCCAATCGTTCTGCATGATTGCTCGATTTTTGTATGAAATCTCACATTTACTTCCATTTTTTGAACATTCTTCCATGACCTTCTGATTTGAACTGTGAATTTGAAAGGAAAGGTGATTGGCAAATAGTGGAATTATCAACAATTTGTGCGATAAGATGGACTCATCAGGCAGAGATCAAGTTATCATGCTGATCAATCTGTTCACGCCCAGCAGTGATATATATTTTTGATATATTCATGCAATGATATACATGTATTCATGTACCAGCTAAGCACGCTCTGGCTGTGCTGTAGACATGACCGACATCTGTAGCAAATTTATTTAGGTGGGGGTTTTAATCTACCCTCAGAACTGTGAGATTCAACATCCGCTACACTCCCACGAAGGAGAGTGGCAGACCTCAAACCCCACAGTTCTGTAGGTAGGCTTAATCTAAGTACAGCAGTCCAGTTAATTTACTTGTGGAGTGAACTTAGCAGCAGCTGAGCCTGAGGGATATGTGATGGAAAGACCTCCATGGTGTCGTGGATTATGTATCTTAAGATCATATGTTTAGTTCAACATACAGGTAGTCATGGCCATAATTTTTCTTCTTTGTCAAATGAATTGTAATTTTACTATTCAGCTATTCATAAAGTTGGAGAATTTTTTTTCCCTGTGTAATTTTTCCCGAATGCCCAATGTTGATTACTGATGCATCACGACACGTTGTTGTTACTGGTTCTGAAGCCTTTTAAAATGTGGGATACAGATCCACTGCTTTTTTATGCAGTAAGCTGAAGATTTAGGAAATGTGAGCATGGACAGTTAAACAACGTACTATGCCCCAACTATTGTGGCAGTGGCTCCAACTACATGTACACTTGAGTGGAATTAGTTATTAGTATGATGCTGAATAAATGGCAAATTTAACTGTAACAGCACTATAGTTGGGAATCACGCAGATGTGGTGAGGATTATTCCAGGCGTAGTTGGGACCACTGTTACTGTTCATGCATCGAATTAAATAGTTTCCAGTCAAGATTCACCACTGCAATTTTTCCCCCACTGATTGGCCAAACTCAGGATTTGGTGACAACTGTTTGAAAGTATTCTTGTCTTTTGAGTGGATTGCACATTTCAGAAAAAAGGGTTATTTTTCCATAGTACCTTAAAAAATCTTTCCACTGCAAACCTCCAAGAAAGCACAGAGGAAAAAAATAGGAGAAGCTCATAGGTGCACTCTTGATAAGTGTCGAAATGAAACCCTGCAAGTCTGCACTGGATATTGTTATACATGTATTTTCAGAATTCCTTGATTAACTATTAACTTGCAAGTGTTGCATCCGTAAATTATGGTGTGATTCCTTTTCACAGACAAAATGCCACGCTGAGTTGTCAGAATTCCTCCTCTTGACTGGTTGACTTTGAATAGTTTGTGCAAACATTTTCCAAGTTAGCCAACAAACTGATGTGTTCTAAAGTCCACTCGTATGGCTCTGCATTGTGTTACAGCAACTTACATGCATTGTGCACAGTCAGGTTCGAATGGTGTCTTGAGTTTGTTTTCCTTTTCCCTTGAAGACCAAAGACATTCAAACAGAAGGGTTCAATTACATGTAGATGTACATGAACAAATGTAGCAAATTCTGGAGTAATTTAGTAGCCCCCTTTTGAAAAAACTTTCAGTATGAGCAGTGATGGTACTTTAGAACAAGCCGCCTAACACAAACATACATGTACCTGTACAACTGCACATGTGCAGTTATTTAGTGGCAAGGAGTGCTTGACCATTCATGTAACAGTGACAATGGCCATGGCATTGTCAGAAGGACGTTCTGTGCAACACTGTGAGGCTGTAGTTATGAAATTATTCACAGTAAGCAGCTGATGAGTGGATATCTTTGTACCCTGAATCTCATCACAAGCACTGACAGTGGTGATTTTTATCTCTTAGGATGATATCATTGGGTATATGTAAATGAAGATAGACAAAGCACATTTTCTTTCATGTCCTATTGATAAATTGCCTTGTGAAAGCAAAACCTACAAGTGAATTCTTCACCCAAGCCCAGACATTTTGGAGGATTTTGTAGAACTGAAGGAAGGTTGCCAAGCCACTCTTACTTCCTTTACGTAGGGCTCTATCAGTGCCCTTTCAAATTAAGAATTGTAAATTTCCAAAAGCATGCCTTTGGGTTCCACAATACTGTCGGTGGAAAATGTTGGCAGATTGACACAACAGGTACTTCTTGGGGAAATTGTCTGAAAATCACATCATATTTATCGGTTGTATTCCTGCTAAAAGAAAATGGTGTCTTGTGTAAGTACGCAAATAAACACGAATAACAAGAGATGTATACCTAGATGTAAAAATATACACACACAGTTATAAAATAACATTAGAATTGTGCGTATGTATACAATTTCTATCTTCCCCATGTCTGCCAAATCAATCGCAAAAAGATATATAAAATCACATTTGAAAGCCACCACTGCGGTAATTTCGGCCTTATTTACTTGAATTTAGAAAGTCTGTTACACAGTGACCGGGATAAATCATCAAAACCAGTGCTTTGAATTTGATGCAATTCAGAACCGCACTGAATCAGGCCAGAAAGGCAGCCATTCGTCTCACCTGGTACACAAAATTTGAACTGGCCCTAGGTTCATATGTGAAGGCCGCATCAGTGATCTACCAAACAAAAGCTGGACCGGGTGGTGTGGGTGGGTTTTAGCCAGGAACTGCCTGTCAGTGCATAGGTTGTAGCTCTATGGTCAGTGTCAGCATGCCCTGTACATGTACATTTTGTACATGCAGTACACACATGCATGGTCGGCCATGCAGGTAGCTCAGAATACTGCACTGTTGAATGAATTCATGTCATGCTTGTTGAGCATGCTAGTACGCATAATTATATTCTTTGTATTAAATTGGTATTCTTAATGGGTCCTTAGTCCTTCGTAGGCAATAAATGCCTGTGGAATTCTTATACTTTCCCTTGATGGGATATTCCTACATGTATGAAGCTCAGAGTAGAGGTGTACATGTAGATATGCCAAGTATATGTACTTCATATTTCAGGTAATCGAGAAAAACCAAAAATATTTAGTGCATAAGCAAATTCATAAATTTGGAGGATGGAAGTAATAACTGTCACCTAGAGCAAAGTCAGACAGATAGTGTAAACATTCTGAAAAGCAGATTAGTTCTTCAAGAGCAGAGCCAAGAGGGAAAGTGCTGCTGAAATATCTGGGTACCTTGGCATGTTGTTGACAGAAGTTCCCTCCACAGGCATGTACTCATCATTCATTATACACACTACCAGTAAATATATGTGACAGAGGTTATAGGTACATGTACATGTACATATCAGGTTTTGGGCAGTGTGATAGACAGGACTTGCATACAACCAAGGCCTCATTTCTGTAGCTCTTTTAAATTAGATGCCACATTTTGAGCTGAAGTTTTTCAGTGATGCCGATACCGGTTGTTGGGAGCAAAAGTTGGACCTTTTGAGGGTGAATTAAAACACTTGTAAGCCATGATTAGTGCGTACATGTACATTTATGTCTCTCCGGTCCCAGCAGAAGTAAACAACACACCTTCAATGGGTATTGATTTTTGAGGTAGCAGAAATATTGAGCAACATGACCCTCACAATGTGGCATCTGATTGATCTCTTTCAAAGCGGCCAGGTTGGTTACAAAACGTGGGATGCCGCTTCACTGTTCATTCAGATTTTGCATGAAGTTTTAATGTGGAGAGAGCATCCCTGTCAAAAAGAGAGAATGTGGGTATCAATATTGAGCAGGCAATAAGAGTTTATTGACTTTCGTCATTGGATTGCCATTTTAATAGCTCAAAGTTACTGGTAGATTGTCTGAATATTTATCAAACATTGGTAAATGTTAATTCTGAACATTATTTTTGGTGAGTTTTCTTCTGATAATTGTTCTTTTTTTTTGTTGCGTTAAAAAGTCTAACACTTTAAAACATTTATTTACGGGGTAAAGTGTTAAAAGATAGAATTGATGAAGAAAGTCATTTTACTTTTTAGATAAAAGTAAATAGCAACCACAGATAAAAACATTTAATAGTATGTAATAAAAAAGTACTGGTAGCACATTGAAATCTAGCCAAACCCGTACGAGCTTAAGTCCAATCCCTCCAAAGCTGACAATGGACTGATTTTGAGATATGTATTTACTTACTTTTGGCAAGACTAAGGTCCCTAGATGTAAAATAATACTGCAAGTTTATTCAAGTATTCCCAGTGTTAAATGCAGTCACATGTCATTTTTTCTGGGGAACGTCAAATACATGGTGAAACGAAACATTTGTTCGAAAATCAATTGGAAAAAGTTTTTGACACTGCATCGGAAGTGATTTTATCATAGGAGTTTATTGAATTTCAAAAACCATAATGCCATTGTTCCATCTTGTTTGGTAGGCATACCAGAAGCGGTTCCCCACTTGCAAGATGATACCAATCTTCTTGGGCAGTGAGATTCTGTCAGAGTACAAGAGCGAAGATGGAGCCGTACACGTTGTAGAGAGACGCTGCAAACTCAACATGGACGCCCCCTACCTGCTGAAAAAGGTACGTTACGTGCTGCAAAAGGGAACATCCTACCAAGCAGGTTTGCAACCAGTTGTTAAAAACCAAGAACTTTCCACAAACCAGTGACCAGCAAAAAGTGTGCATGGCGTGATGGCGTGGCTGCCTGAATGGTTGCCACTTTCTGTGTACTTAGCAGCTCAGTGGAAACCAGCTACATGTACATACATGCACATTTACATAAGGCAATGCTGTGTCATCATTGGTTCATTTTTTCTCCAACATCTACGCAGCTGCGATAACTTTGCCGAGATGCAGGCTTTAAGTATTTGTTCACCTGTAAGACTGCTTCTTACATGTGTCACTGAAAGAAGCAATCGTGATGTGCGTATATATGTCTGCACACGTCTCTCCCCCCTTTCTCGGTTGTTTTGTGGCTTTTCTGTCAATTCGTTAAGTTTCCTTGCTAAGGAATTTCATTACGCAGGTGTGCATGTTCCTACAATGCACATTGAAGATTCTTCTTTAATTATCTCTTTGGGTAGTATTTTTTGAGAGATTTACTTGAATTCAGTGCATCCAAATCTACAATTTTTCAGTTTCACCAAAGATTCCTGCATTTACAGAAGACTTGTCAGTGATGTGTTGCTGAGAAATATTTTTGGTGGCCCCAGTGTAATAAAAACAGAAGGGATTGATGACTGACCTGCCATCTGGAAGCATAAAAGATCTTTTATTCTCACAAACCAATTCTACATACAGTGTTTGTCAAAAAAAGAAATTGTAACTGACCAGAACAAAGAGTCTTCTGGTAAGCTTGTGGGAATTTAACGTTTTAGGATTTGACTCTCCAGGCAACAATCTATTCCAGATCTGTACCATAGTGTAACGAGAGGGGAAAAAAGAAAGATTGAAAACTGATAAACACTTGAGTACATGCTTGTGTAATGTCATTTGTGTTGGGGATTAAATCCCCATATTGGCTGGATTGAATTCCCCGTGGTAATCGCAGTGTAGGCAGTAGAGCTACATCTAGAATATTTTCCTTATTAAGGTTGCCGTCCACCAAGTCTGCTAAATAAGCTGCTGCAGACAACAGTGATGAATATTCCCACTTCCAAAAAAATAGAAGTGTTCAAGACACATGTTACATTAAAACGTATTTCCTCATCTTTCATTTTTTAAAATTTTTGGTGGGTTGACCAATGGCTGTTGGGTATTACCATCCGGATATGATCACCCCTAAAAATATGTCATTAAGCCCATCAGAACTTTGAAAACAATTACCTTTACTCCATTGCAGAATAGAGGCATTTTGAGAGAGCTATATTGTACAAGATGAAATTCCTTGAAAACTTATTAAATGTTTGTAGAAAAGTGAATACTGTCATTAAATTTTTATCTTTTACATCTTGTATAATGTTGCATTTTTCAGGACATTTCAATATGTTGCATTGAGCGCGCTGATCTGCGAATCATGGACTGTTATGTCAAAGTCCCGCTATGTCACGTAAAAGGAGCGTGATCTAATCACATTCAAGCATGTTGCCAGCATTGTAGAATTGCACATAATGATTGTGGAAGTCATGAAAAGTCTTTGAATGTTTTGGGGTCTTGACACTATGAATCCTGAATAATAATCTAAAGTAGTGGTGAACCATGCCCACCTGTAATCAATCAGCGGCATAAGCGTTTATTCTTTTCTTTTTGAATTTATTCATGCGTTGGTCACGTAATGATGGCGTGATATCTCTTTTCTACATGTAAGTCAAAGTACCAACTGCAAGTTTGACCTTTTTGGTATAGTTCCCTTGAATTGACTGCTTTGACTGCGTATTGTATCAGGAGGTCTTTGAAGGCAAAAAGTTCATTGCCATGAGCAGTTCAACAGAATTTCATTTCCTGCATTTGCCTTTCTCTGAATTTGATTTCATCCTGTGGAGTTCGATGCGCAACCAAAGTATTAAAACTACAAAAGAGTGATGACTGTTGTCTTTTTTTGGAGAATGAACATGCTAAAGTGCCTTTTTTACAATCCTATTTTTGAATATTTTTAGAAAATTTCTTGACAGGTGCCTGATTTTGAAAGTGAAAATTTCAGTTTATGTGAATTGACCACCGATGAGATTGGGTACTTTTTGTAAAATTACTGAGAAAACTTTGATGCCCCCTTCATTACATGTAAATACAAAGCCCAGCATACTGTAGGTAGCTATGGGTATGAGATGCATGCATCCCGGCACCTGTAGTCAAGTCTCAAGTGACCAGACTTATATTGTAACCAGACATTTTTGTTGACCAGAATAGTGCAACAATATGAGAAACACACCCACTTACATACTTTTAAGGGGATTTATTTGAAGTTGTGAACATGATGAACCAGCCAAGCAAATGTGTTTTGCCATTTTTTTTATATGGGCAAAAAAAGTCCAAAGCAAAGCTAACTTACATGTTATGGCCATGAATTAACTTGGCTGTTCATCAGTGATATTTAATGGCTTTTTGTTTGATCTGTTTTCTGCAGATAAGCATACATGTATTTTTATGTTTTTAGCAATAACCTTGCGACCACCCTTTTCTCCTCTATTTAATCCTGTAACTAAAGAAATTTGTAGCTGTACATACATGTACGTACAAACATATGTACATGTACGTGTAAGTAATATGCTCAATTTACATGTATGCACCTGTACAGTTGTCAGAGACTTAAAGGGTAACTGCAATCAATTTGTGTTAATAGAAATCTTCAAAATGCACCTTTGTGCCTCAGTTAACCTTATTTTCAACTTTTGTTTCACTCTTTCAAAGGGTATTTTGCTGCCTTCTTGGTTTTCATGCTAATGAGTATTTCTATATTTATGAGCAAAACTGTGATGTCATCCTAGGAAGAAAATGTTACATTAGTTTGTACAGTAAGTTGTACATTTTTATAGATTTTGCTGGAGTTAATTTTTCTCTTTTTTTTGCTAGTTCATCGTTGTGTATGTGCATAGCAATAAGTGAGCACCAATGCTTTCCTCAGAAATGTTTTCAGTATGTAAATTCTGGGTTCACATTTTTTAATAGAAAAACCTAGGCCATGAACTATGTCTTCCTTGGATGACATTAGAGTACCAGCGCCCTCAGTTGTTCAGGAAAGCATGGATAGTTTTAAGTATTTGAAAAGAGCACTTTTCAGTATGTTTAACCAAAATTTAATGGGAATGTAAAAGAGTGTTCATACATGAAGGAAAGTACTAAGTAGCAAAAAAAAACTGTGTCTAAGAAAAATTCATCGCGGCTACACACCAAAGGCTGAGGTAAAATGTCCCATGTAGTAAGGTGAGCAACCATACTTTCTCTCCAAATGGTAAGGCTGCCGTTCAAGTCGTGTCCTTGTCCTAATATTTTCATAGATGAAGAAGGTTTGGTTTCCCTTCTCTCTGAACTTCCAGATCGTGGGCGTGGATTTCATCTACTTCATCCAGAAAAACTCACTGAATTGGCGTGACAGGACGCTGAAAATAGAGGCTTACAATGAGAGTTTCTCCTCGAGAATCACGGTCATTGAAGGCTGCACATACTTTGTAAGTGTTCCTGAAAAAGAGCTGTCCATGTGGTCTTGTGCTGTCTTGTTCTGTGTGATCCATTTAGATGTTGCTGCAAACACTGAGAAACCTGCCAAACAGCCAAGTCAGGGAAATGCCGTAGAGCCCTTTAAATTTAGAATGTTTTGTTATTCAGTGCTGAAGCAGTGTTTCAGCCAGCGGCATGTGTGGGTGTTATTTCGACACCCTAAAATGCCATTCTGGACATATGTATCTTGTTTTGTTACATGTGTACATGGACAATCTTAGTAACTCAGATGTCCTGTTCTCCACTTCAGGGCACATGCGAATACCCTGATACCTAAAACCTGAGCTTAAGTGTGCAGACAGACAACCCACAGTGAAACAAATCACTTCCAAAAAGTGGCATGCTTTCTCATTACCTTATGCCTTTCCAAGATCCTTCAAAGTCTACTGGGATGTTTGGAAGGGTTTCTGCTGGACTGAGGAAGACGAGAGCCCAGCCACAGTTACTTTACACACAGCCTGATACCTTTAAAGGTTAATACAAATAAGTGAACATCCACCTGTTGGTTTCCTGCTTAATGGAGGATTTTGGAGGATTCCAGAGGTTTCTGTCAAAAAATGCTCAGTGAATTAGTTGAGCTACAACGTAATAGTCACAATGTGGTAGAGGGACTCCACTCCAGTTTCCCAGTGGTTCCCTCCCCGACTCACTCAACATGGTACTAGCAAGTATAGGTATCCGTCAGAAAGGAAAAAAAACAAGCCAAGCAATTATTTTCAGTTTAAAGTAAAGACAAAAATAACAAGTAAAGTTCAACCTTGATCATGAAATTCTCAAATTCATTCTTTGTATACATGTACATACATGGATACGAGTACATGTACAGGAACATTGTGTGTATACATGTTTGGGTTTTAGACACAAGATTTGTGTGTTTAGTAATCACATGAGAAGCTAGAATTCGATAGAAATAGAAAGGCAGGAGTTGACAACAAGATGGCCCATTCCATTGCTTTATTGGAGTCACATTTTTTTTCTTTTTTTTGGTTTCCCCAAATAACTCATTTCTGCATGCACGGCAGATTACATTGTCTGGCAAATCAGATATAAATCACCGCACTGACGTCATTGGGCAGAGAGAATATACTCCCACATACATGTACATGTAACTTGTGATTAGTTTAGACACGCTTAATTCTGTGGCTTGTTTGAGTGTAGAGTAATGTTCCTAAACATGTTACATATGCATGCCGTACCTACAGAACAGTGTCCTTAGGCTAGGAGTGTTTCTTTTCTCTTCTTTCCTTCTTTGTTGTTTTACACTTCCGAAAAAGCCCCCAATTTCCTCAGGATTGAGAGTGAACTACACAACTGTATTGCAAGTCAACTTTTTTTTTGTCTGTCCAGTCTGCTTGTTTCTACAGTGAGAGCAGACCCCTACTTACATGTATGTCAGAACATTCTGACTGAACATGTACACGTACATGTACCTCATACACTGTACCTTTACAGTATGTAATTAATGTTAAAATTACTGGTTCGTAATGTGTTTCAACAGGATGACAAGACCCAATTATCAACAGATATTCATTGTGAACTAATTTGGTATTTCGACACCAATGGGCACACACAATTCAAGTTACTGGTGTGCAGTACTTAACCCCAACCCCTAGGGTGTAATGTAGGGAAAATCCTATTGAAATCGGAGGATTTGGGACTTTTAGGGATAGTGTACATGTACGGTACCAGTAGATCAGTGCAGAATATGAACTGGTACATTGAACAATTCAAGCTGGTGAGAAAGTTTACCCATTCCTATTGGTTGAGCACCTGTCATGTGATTGATTTTAGTATTCTTGTACAGTATTCGTGATCTGCATACATGTACATGAATTCATTGTTCTTGGTGGTAGTTTTGTTTAATGAACAGGTGAGCAGGTAGGCTGTGCACATTTTTACATTTTGCATGACTTTAACCAAAATCATCACTACATGTATGTCACTCAATCATGAATTTTCAGATCATCAATACTAAGTTTGACAGACTAATTGGCTACACTGTCAAGGTGCTAAATTTTGACATGAGCGCTCTCTCAATCCAAAGCAAATGTGACCAATTTACTGCCATCTTTGGATGGAGTTTAAGGAAACATGACCCAGAGCAGACATTTTCTCTCTTGGCACCAGAAAGGAAGTTGAGAACGCCTTTGATAATTGCAGATTTCCCATGAAGAGCCAGCCCTGGATGTGCAGAACTGACTGGTATAATTGGTTGATCAATCAGATTTTCCCCTGACTCCGACCAAAGGGCACCTCATGGGCACTTCATATCTGGTGCCTAATAGCAAAACCCAAGTCAATACCGACCTACCTCTGAGAGACAAGATGGGGCAGATAATGCCCAAGATACTGATGAGACTCGATAATATGAGGAACGGCTCAGAGACGGACATGTGGGAATCAAAGATGCGGAGATGACTGTTGGTCAGTGTGACTTGACGCTGTGGGATGGGGGTCATTGCCAGAAGGGTTAAAGTCGGACAGTAGATGGTCAAGCAGATCTTCCAGGGGAATGTGTGTCAGGGATATTTTTAGACAGCAGGTACATGTACCTGTATTCATTCTTTGGATTGTACCTTCGACTTGACTAGGAAGTCTCCAAACATCTATTACTGCATGCATTTACAGTGTACTTTGAAACCTTGTCCCATAGTGATTCATTGTTCAACGGCACCAACTATTATAAATTCTCTGTTGGAAATTTGTAGATTTGAGCCATAAAACAAACATCCTTTTGATGAATTCTTTTTTTTTTTTTTACTTTATGGTTTCGAACTTTTGGCCAAACTCTGTTGGATCAGAAGGTCTTGAGATCATTAGTTGCAGGGAAAATGTAATTGATATGATTTTTGTTTTGTTTGCTGTTGTTTTGAAACAGGTGTGTTATTTGGTTTCTCATTATTAACAGTCCTCATCATTACAGAAGAGTTTTTTGTCATTGAAAAACATTGAGGTTTCTCTGGAAAACTTTTACAGAGAAACATTTGCTAGAAACTCCCAGAGTCTGTGTACATGTACGGTGTAAATGTACTGGATGCATTATTGATTCAACAGATGACCCAGACACTGAAATAAATTAAATTATTGACAATCCATACAAAATGAAACATCATCACCGTATTTGTGGCTGCACACATACAAAACAATGACTCATGTGGCAACGAGATTGGATGACTAAGTTTTTTGTTTTGTATTGTTTTGTTTTGCTTTTTGTGACTGGGAACTAGCAAATGCCAGAGATCCGTTTAATAAATATCCATTTGATAAGCGTAGAGAGGTTTACTCTATCCACAGCTACGCTGCTGATGAAATTGATGCATGTGGAAATTGAGGTGGATGGTTTCCTTCTGTTTCTACCTGTATATCTTCAAGATTTGTGTCAGACTGTCTGAGTTGGAAATGACATTTTGGAGTTGCCCGACCATTTTGCAAGGGCACTCCATCTTGTCACAGTGCTGAATTTACATTCAGAAATGCCAACAGCACACGCACGCATGTACGTGTACCAACACCAGTACTTTTTTTGTGAGGAATTCACACATTACACTGAACGATCTACAGGTTATGGGAACAAATTCGATATGGGGACAAATGTTTGCCTCCATAAATCAGTCCCTGACATAAGTTTCCTGACAAAAGAGAACATCCCCTCAATGCAGGGCAGGCCGAGGCTCATACACACACACACATGCGCACACACATACAAATGAAAAAGCAATGTAATGCTGATTATTTGACTGTTTCCATGTGTACAGTTGAAAAGTTAACTTCGCATGCAAGCTTTTAAGGGTGCACTGAACC